CAGAGAGAGAGAGGGAGAGAGAGAGAATCCCAAGCAGGCTCCACACTGTCAGAGCCCAACACGGGGCTCGAACTTGGGAAACTCGAGATCATGACCTGAGCCGAAACTAAGAGTCGGATGCTTCACCGACTGAGCTACCCACGCGCCGCTGGTATATATATTTTTAAACTTCCTTCATATCGGGTGTAAAGAATGCATGAGAGAGGGAATACACTCCTCACCCCATGTGCTTTATAGAGCTGGTTTTCTGTGTGCTCTGAAATACGGAGTTGTGGAGGGATGATGGCCTGCATCCGAGGCACGCGGACCTCATCCGAATCTTGTCTTGCCATTTAATATGGCACGAGTTTGGGCGAGTCGTCAGCAACACGAGCCCCCATTTTCCCACCTGTGTGATGAGGTTGATAGCACCTACCTCTCAGGATTATCGTGGGGACCTAAAAAGATGATGTCTGCCACATGCATAGCTTGGGGCTGGGGAGTCCTAGCTTATAAGCGGGTGGCTTTAAAATCTCAGTTTAGGGGCACCTGGGTGGCTCAGTTGGTTAAGCGTCTGACTTTGGCTCAGGTCATGATCTCACGGTTTGTGGGTTCAAGCCCTGCATTGGACTCTGTGCTGACAGCTCAGAGCCTGGAGCCTGTTTCACATTCTGTGTCTCCCTCTCTCTCTGACCCTTTGCTGCTCACGCTGTATCTCTCTCTCTCTCTCTCTCTCTCTCTCTCAGAAATAAATAAAACATTAAAAAAATTAAAAAAAAAAAATCTCAGTTTAGATAGGAGACATGAGGGAAATAGCAGGCAAATCTTGCCGGGCTTGGGTGAACCAGTGTGTGTCAGAGTTTGGGAGGCCCTATTTGAATCGGAGGATGTGGCTCTCTGTTCTGCAAATAGAGGTGTTTCCTGCATCAGGGCTCTGGAAGCAGCCCCTGGGGACTGGTACCACCTCCTTCCCCAGCTCCCGCTGTTTGGAATCAGACACGTGGGCTTGTGTGCTGCAGATGAGACGGGCCTGGCCAGGGGCCCGGTGGGTGGGTGGGAGGGCAGGCGGCCGTGGGGGGCCCAGGCCAGCTTCTGGCGAGGACGGGGTAGGGGGTACGGGCTGTGGGAGGCTGGCATCCTGGGCTGTCCGAGCCCCGCCAGGAGTCGGGCTCACTGGGGGACCTTCTGCCTCCCGGCCCGCAGGCCTGTCCCTCCCCAGGCTTGTCTGCTCCCAGGCTCTCCTGACAGGAAGGCCGGTCACACCCTCTGTCTATTCTGCCTCAGCCCTGGGGCCTTCTGAGAGCCAGCGCCACAGGCACAGCTGCCGGCAGTCACAACGAGGCTCCAAAGTAGGACTGTCCCACCTTCGTCCTCACCTCCCCACAAAGTGTCACTGCCACGTAATCAAGTGCTAATGACTTGCATGCACTGTGTGAACCTAGTTGTATACATCGTTTCATTTAAGCCTTTACATGAGTCTCGGTGACATTATTACCCGCACTGCTCCAATGAAGAAACGCAGTCTCAGACTTAGCTTGTAAGGACTGTGGCCACCAGGAGGGCCCCGACCCCTGCTTTTCCTCATTTGCTTCCTCCCGGCTGCTGCCACGATAGCTCCTCCATTCTCCCAACGTGGTGTTTAGTCTGCCTATAAAATCGTGGGTTTCCTCAAACCCAACGCCCAGGGACTGGGGCAAGGGCCTGAGTCGGACCAGAGCTCTGTCCCAGGGGAGCAATGAGGCCTGGGTTGTCAGAGGTCCAGGACCTCAAGCCTGGTTTTTTTGTCCCCAGCTGAGGTCCAGATTGGGCGACAAACCTTCATGCGATTCGACCAAGAAATGACCTGGCCCGAGGCCCTGCGGTACTGCCGCGGCCACCACACAGACCTGGCTGACCTGCAGATGGTGACCGACGAGGCCAGCAAGGAGGCCTTGAAGTCCGTCATGAGTGAGACCGAGGCCTGGATCGGCCTCTACTTCAACGCGGCCTCTGAGTCTCTGAGCTGGTCGAGCGACCTGGGTGCCGGTATCCCCACCTGGCTTCAAGTGCCCATGTTGGGGACGGGCCTGTGCGCGGGGCTCCGCACCTACGCGCACTACTCCCCCAGAGTCTCCGCATTGGCCTGCTCGTCCCCGAGACCCTTCATCTGCTTCTATGGTGCGTGACAGTCTGTCCCCACTAACCCCGGCCTTGCCAAGGATAGAACGGGACGGGACGTGGGTTTACTCGGGCAGCAGGGGACACTGAGGTTACACCCAAGGAAGCACCTCTAGACTCTGAGGGTAAGAGGTGCAGCCTTTTTTTCTGAGGGAGCTTGAAAGAATGGAATGGACCCCATCGAGCCTCTGGGCCTTAGCACTTAGCCATGGCAGGTTTGGGCAATGCAGGGGCTCAAATCCTGCACTTGGGAATCACACAGGCTTTACCACTTGCTAGAAACAAGGTGCTTGGCATCTCTGAGCCTCCTTTCCCTCTTCTGGAAAATATATTTAACAAATGGCTTTGGAGACTGAATGAGAATGTATAGAACAGATGTAGCAGAGGCCCCGGCACCGAGTAAGCCCCCCGCGGATGTCAGCTGTTGTCACTGTTGTTGAACTCTGAGTGCATGTGAACCAGAGGTCCGCCTGGGTAGTCTAGATCTTGTGTATACATGTCCTCAGCGACAGGTGCACCCTACCTTGTCCTTTTCTTCTCTTTTTTTTTCTCTTTCTTTCCTGCCTTCCTCCTTCCTCCTCTCCCTCCCTCCTTTCTGGTCTTCTTTATTTTTTGCAACAGCTTTTTTGAGGTATAGTCCACATACCTTAAAAATCATCCCTTTGAAGTGTCTAAACTCAGTGGCTGTTAGTAGTCACAGGGGTGTCCCAGCAGCACCGCTATCTAATTTTAGGACATTTCTGTCCCCCGAAAGGAACTCCTTACTGTCGAGCACTCCCCGTTCTCCCCCACCCTCAGTCCCGACAGCCGCTGATGCACTTTCTGTCTCTGTCGATTTGCCTGTTCTTGGCTGTTTCCTTTCGTGTTTTGGATTTGTCGAGAACTGTGATCCTTTTCTACAAAGTAGGAATGATGGTCCCTCCCGTGCAGAGCTCCCATGAGGATGAAAGGCCCGGCCGGCCTGCACCCATGGGTGGCACGTGCAGGCGCAGGCATGCGCCATCGCCGGCGGGCCTTAGGGGAGGAAGAGCGGGGGGCGCCCTGTCCCACATCAGCCCTGCCCTCACCACTCTCCCTCCTTCCTTGCAGACCCTTCCGTTGGGCACCGCGAGTCCCCGGTTCTCTCCACGTCCCTTCACGATCCCTCAGAAGAGGCCTCTGCTCTCTCCACGTCCCTTCACGATCCCTCAGAAGAGGCCATGGAGACAATGCGCAGGCAAAGTATGTGCTGTGTTTTGTTCTGTGTAGGTGCTTTGGACCTGTCCTTGGCTGGGCCCCAGGGTCTCGGGGCCTGAGAGCTGGAGAGGTCACCTGCGTGTGCAACACAGGGTGGACCCCACGGGATCCTCCCGGAAGAGGATTTTCCAGCCCACCCCCACCCCCTGCAGGGCCAGGTGGGGTTGGAGAAATGGGGGCTCAGTTACCATCAACCTCCTTCTTTGAACTGGGCCACTAACTTGCAGCTTCAGAGTGGGAGGCTCAAGAGAGGCTGTGTGCCCCCCCCCCCCAGGTGATGAGGGCCAGCCTGGGGACGGAGGGGAGGACGCCTGGCAGTGCTCCCGAGAAGTCATCAGAGAGGCCTCTGAGGTTTAGCATCTGGAGAGGGGACCACAGGAGAGGGTGTCTGTCGAATCCATTGTGATTCTGGGCTCCCCTGGGTGAAGAGAAGATTCCAGATGAGTTGTTGGGACTATGTGTGGCGGCATGTTGGGAACACAGTGGTTGCACTCCTTCAGCATTTTTAAATTCCTGAAACATCCTCACAGCTATTACCTGATTTTGCTTCCCAAGAGTTCTGCAGCTAAGGAGGGTAATTGCGGGCAAACTCACAGTTCTGGCTTTGTTACGGACTCCTGTATCTGACAGAGGTGTTCTTGCCTTTTCTGAGGACACAGAGAAGTTAGGGAACTTGCTCATAGTTGCACAGAGCTTTATTCTGGGGACACAAAGAAAACTCAGGGGCTGCTCTCAAGGAGCCCAGGGTGGTGACGTTGGTGTTGTGGGTACAGGCACAGGCATGGTGGGGACACCCTGATCCTACAGGAGCTCTGCCTGCAAGGAACGTGGCCGCCACCCTGACGGTAACAGCGCCAGGGCCTGTGGTCAGATTCGGTTCAGAGACTGGGGACGCTCCCAGTTTCTGCTTCCCGTGGAGATCTGGCCGCCCCCCCGGGCCGGCACTGGGAGCGCAGGGCCGGGCGCGGAAGAGCCGCAGGGCCGCTGCGGGACCCCGGGAGCCCAGGCTGGCGCGTCCCCTCTGTTGCGCGCGTCCCGCCGCGGCCGCTGGACGCCAGCCGTCGGCGTCCTTGCCCCACGGCCCGGGGCCCTGTGGGGGTCCCGGGCGCGGGGCGCCCCTCGCGAGCCTTCTCTGCAGCCTCGGGACCAGCTCCGGGCGCGACTTCGGCGGCGCGGCGCCCGCAGAGTCGGCCCCGAGCCCACCGCGTGCGCCGCCCGCGCGCCCGGCTGCTGCGAGCCCCTCGGCTCCCCCGAGCCCTGAGGACGGCTGCCCCGCGGCCTGCGCCCCGCCTGCGGCCCCGGGGACTCCCTACCCCGCGAGGAAGGGGCCGGGGCCCTGCCCGTAACTGTGCAGAGCGCGCGACCTTGGCCCCGCGACCCGGGCCTCTCCGCCGAGCGCGGCTGGCCCTCCGGGACCCTGTCGGTCCTCCAGGCGGAGCCCGGGGCCGCTCCCGCCTCCGCCTCGGGCCCTGACACCGGGCACACGTCCCCGGGGACCCCCGTTACCGAAGGCAGGTCCGCGACTCCGCGGGAGGCAGCAGCGCGCCCCGTGCCCGGCTGCACCCTCGGCGCCTCCGCTGCCCGCGGGCGGGTCCCAGACGGCGGCTCCCGGCCTCCAGGCAGCTCCCCGGGGGCGGAAGAGCCCGCGTCGCTGCGGGTTGGGGGCGCCCACAAGCCAGGCCCCGCCCCTCCTCTGCGGAGACAGCTCCCTAGGTCCCCCGCCGGGCCGCGGACGAGGAGGTGGGGGTGGGCGTTGTGTGCCGGCCAGTCTCCCTCCCGGGCTGCATTCCGTCCGCCCTGCGTTCCCAGGTCAGCCTCACTGGGTAGTAATTAAGGATGGGGCGTCCAGGGGAGACTCGGGCCATCTGGGCTGTAGATGTCTGATAGCCAAGGGTTGGAACTTAAAGTGCGGCCTTAAGCAAGTTTCGTGACTTCTCAGAACTTCATTTTTTCTCATCTTTAAAGTCAAGAAAAATACCCGTGTCGTGAGCTGTCTTTCAGCACCTGGCATCTAGCAGACAATAAATGGCAGTTACTACCGGTCTAGTCTCAATTCACTAGTGACGTGTTTAGGGATTCATGTCATCTCCTGCCTCTGTCCTTACTCAACAGACAGGGCTGGCTTCAGTCTCGGTTTACTAATTATAGATGATTATGAATGATCAGATTATGAATTATTGAGATTGTGGAATCTCACAGGGCAGGGGCCGTCTTATGCCTCTTTGTATCTTTCCCAGGCCTTGAATAGTGATTTACACATTGGTAGATGACTGAATTCAACAGTCCCTTCCGGAGGACTGGTTTTGAACAAGGCTGTGGATACCAGAAGAGCAGGACTTGTTTCCTGGTTTTAAAAGAGCTTAATATAACAGGGACTAATAGAGACCACGGTTTGGGAAGTGCGGAACCAGAAGTGGAAACTGAGCACCTTGGCGGGACAGTGACCCATTCATTCTGCTGGAAAGGTGGCGGTAATTGGACAAAAAGTCCATGGAGGATTTCAGGCAGCAAATGCTAGAACATTCTTCCTGGCAGAGGGAACAGCACAGCAAAGACAAGTAGATGTGAAAACATGTGGTTTGGGGATGAAAGCGGTCTGATGTGACCACAGTGTAGGTCATGTATTTGGGGAGGGAGTGACGAGGGACGAGGAAGAGGGACAAGTTCTGAAGGACGTGACCTTGCAGCAGGTGGAGGCATCGGAGGTTTTCAGCAAGTGTGCAAAATGCTCAGAGCTGCGGTTGATAGGGGCAAGGTGGCTGTAATGACAGGGGACAGTGCTTGTGTCGGGGCGTTAAAGGAACAAAGCTTGGCTCAGCATTGTACACGTAGCACACTCGCCAGCACACGGAAAGGAAGCCACCACCTGTGCTTAGGAAAAAACACTGGATGGAAACGTGTGAAAATGTCAGCAGCGGTTACAGTCAGGCGATGAGACTGCGTGTTTCTCCCGTTCTGTGTTTCTGGATTTTACGAAGTTACTCGTCTCGCCAGAGGAACGTGGAACATGCAGTGCTTTGGGGGGTGTGTGGCGGGGAGAAGAGGGCATCGGGGAGGAGGCGGCCAGGGCAGGACGTGGGGAGGGCCAGGGGCGTGGGGAGGGGCGCAAGGGAACTGGTTTTACGCTGCTTGCCGGTGACACCAGTTGGAGAATATAAATGCAAACACGTCTTTAAAAGGTGCTCGGCTTTGCTCACCGAGTCATAGAAATACAAACTAAAATCAAGATGCATTTTTAAAACGATTTTTTCCCCCTACCCATTGGGCAAAGATCGGAAGGGGTGATGGTGGTGATGAGAATGTGGGAAAATCAGCGATCCCAGACACCGGATGGGGAAGTGGGCTGCAGCGGCCCTTGCGGGTGGCGTGTGTGTTCTGAGGTGGACATACCCTCTCAGACAGAACCCCTGTTTTGGGGAAGTGAGAGAGAGTAGTGCGAGGTGCACACATACACGCGCGTCCTCCGCACCCAGGCTCTTATTGCAGGAGGATCACAGGGAGAAATCGGAGGCCGTCTAATGTCCATTGAAAGCAGGTGGCCTAGATAAGTTCTGGTACATTCACTGAGATGCTGTGCAGCGTTTAAAGAGAATAAGGTAGATCTATGCATTCAAATGAAAAAATCCAAGGGTGTGAAGAACATTCTATAGCAAACTGTTAACTGTGGTTGCCCCTGGGTCAGGGGAGGCGCTAGTTTTGTTTAAATATTTTACAATAATATACGACAACAATATGGTAGTTCCGTATTTGCGAGGGGGGGCGGGGGAGACCTCTGCAAGGCACTGACAGGGCTTTGCTGACTGAGCATGAGAGGGAGTCAGGGAGCCGGGGGGTCTCTGGGACTCGGGAGACGGGAGGGAGGCGGGCAGCCTCACAGCGGAGAGGAGGCTGCTGAGGGGAGGCGGAGCGTGGTTTCGGAATGCCTGGCGTTTGGAGTGCTGCCTCTTGATGGAGATGTTGGGGGTCCCTGACTGCCAACGGCGGGGCCGCGTGAAGCCGGCAGACACCATGAGGGCACCGGGCCCTTGGGGTATGAGAGGAAACGTTTGCTGCTGGCAGGGCCGCTCTCAGAGAGATGGTGACAACTTGGGCTGGGGGCGTGAGCCTGCGGGGGCAGGTCCAGGTCTGGCCGGCCGAGCTCCCCCCGCTGGTTGGTCTCCACGGCGGCTGTGTGCAGAGTGGTCCGAGGTTGTCCCCTTCCGGCACGGGCAGTCGCCAACCTCAGACCACCTTGCTCCTGGCCGTGTTTGCATCGACTCCTTCCCCCCACCCCCAGCTGTGACCACTGGAGGAAGTGGCGGTGCTGCGAGAGACACGGCCACTGCCCCTCAGGCCCGACCTGCGAGCTCACCTGAACACCTGGAGTCTGAAAACACTCCGGCAGCAGCGTCAGGTAACTGCCTCTGGTCCGGACGGCCCCTCCTCAGCACGGGCACCAAGGCCTTTTGTGACACGGCCTCCGGCGTTGGGAAGGGCGCGGGCCTAAGAGGAATCAGGACGGGGAGCCTGGGGCGAGCACCCTGCCTGGCGGCAGAGCTCGGGGAGCAAACGCCCTCCGTCAGAGCTCCTTTCTCCTCGCGGGGGAGGCGTGGTGAAGACCGCCCTGCCCGTGTCGTGGGGTTGGCGCAGGCGCCCCGGTCGGCGTGCGGAGGCCCGTCCTCAACTGTAGGATGCCACGCAGACGGGAAGCGGTCCTGTCGTGAGGCTGTGTGTGGGCCCCGCGACAGGACGGTGGCTCGAGGCCCACGGCTGAGCTTGTGTATAGGCTCAGAGAACCTACTTAGGGAGAGCTTTCTGGGGGCAGCGCGGGCCCGGTGAGGGTGTCCGGCGTGGTGCCGAGCAGCTGCCAACACAGCTGTCAGGAAGGAGGAAAGTACAGAAGAGACAGAGGGGTCTGGAGAGGAGGGCCTGCGAGCGGCCGGGGGGTGGGAGCGGAGCCTCTGTCCTTCCAGCCACTGGCCGCCGGCCCTGATTGCTGCTGAGTGTCCTGTGGGCCAGCAGTGTGCCTCCTCTCCCTTCCCGAAACCCTAAAACGCCACGTAGCATCTGTGGTTTCCAATGGGCGATCCTGACTGTTGGGAACTTAAAAGTTTCGAACGGCAGCAGGCTAAATTTTCTCCAAACCAGGCAGCACCTTGTTTTTCAGGGCAGGTCTTTGGAATCCTGAAAGGAGATTTTACCATCCCGGCTCTCCTGGACCCAGAAGATATGAAAGACCAATTTTTGAGTGAGGTGAGACCTCAGACCACTTCTGAGTTTGATCAGTCAGATGCCTGGACAGTGCAAGGTGATACTGTCAAAACCAATATACTTGGAGAAAAAGCTTGGGAAAGTGAGCTCAGCTGCTCCCGTTGCTGGCACGCTGGCTCATGGGGACAGCTTGGTGCCTGTGCTGAGGCTTTTCCAGATCTTTTTCTTCTCTCTGCAACATTTTTTTTTTTTTTTTTTTTTTTTTTAAATCAATACAGCATAATCAGCAGGACCCGTACTGGGGTCCTGGCCTTCTACTTATTAGTCGTGTGACCTGGGACAAGTAACTTGATCTTTCTGAATATCAGTTTTCTCATGAATTAGGGCAACAAAACCTAATTCATATGGTTGGTATTATTATTAAGTAAAATTTTCCATGTAAAGTGCTTAGCAAATTGGCACATAGTAAGTGTTCAATAAACACAAACATTAGCTATTATCACCAACATTATTATTGTTCATTTGAATATACATTTGTTACAGGCTCCCCTCCCCGCCCAGTCCTGTTCTTTGAAGTATTATAAGATGGGACATTCTGAAAAGGAAGAAGTGTTCCTAAATATTGCAACAAAAGCCTGAGGCACGTTTTTCAGTTATATCAGGGAATGACCGTTAAGATGTCAAGAGTCAGAGAGTTCCTGCCAGGTCACCTAATCAGTCCTAATGTTACGAGGAAAGAGACTGGCATTTACCTGGTAGCTTACTGCAATTTACTCCCAGGCCACAGAAATAGCACCTAGCAACTCATTCTAAAACCTCACAAACTCATTTCAAAAAGAACAGTGTGTATGTGTGCGCACACTTGTGTGCATGTATACGTGCATGCGTGCGCACCGGCCTGCCGGGGGCCTCTGGGGAGGAACTAGAGAGCTCTCGGTGCATTTTGCTATTAAAAGAACAGGTGCAAATGATGCAGTTGGACATCGGATCATTATTTTAGTAGAAGCTCAGTAAGACTGCAGTGCTGAGCATTCTGTTTCCCAAAGTCAAGGACTCTTTTTTTTATGGGTGTGGGAGGGAACCAAACCGGAAACCATCTTCCTTTGAAAATAAAGCCAATCATGGGAAAATTGGAGTCAAAACGGGGAATTCCATCTTCTGGTCCCCTTTGTTGGAATGTATCTGTTCCCTATTAATGGAGACGATTTCTACCTCACAGACTTAAAGGATGGAAATGGTGGGGACCATGTGTATGCGGGGGAAGGCAGAGTATATGTTATTAATTTTAGCTGCATTTTAAATTGCAAACAGAAGGCAGGGAAACACACCTGCAACCAACTTGTCCCCATTCCAGGGACAGGGAGAGAGAGACATTGTAACAGATGCACCCAGTGCTCGGAGCTCAGTATGGACTAGTGGTTGTTAACCGCAACTGAAGTTGTCCCCTGGGGAACTGGAGAAGAGAGCCCCACCCCGATCCGTAGAGATGTAGTTACCTGGTTGGTGGTGCAGCTCAGGAGGCACCTTTTCTGATTTCAAAGTTCAGTAGCGATTCTGATAAACAGGATTGAGCAGCACTGTTAAGTCATTTGTCTCAGCCCCCTTTGCCATCAGACTTTCCGCCCCCCACCCCCTGGGCAGGGGGCAGTGGTGCTGGAGGCGGTGGTCCTGGTGCCCTAGAACAGTTGGTTTCTGTACTCTCCTGTTGGGGGTAGGTGCGATCCTTCACAAAGACAGGCAGCTGGTGGAGGGTGGGGGGCGTAGGTAAGAAAAAGAAAGGGTGCAGCTGGTGGTAAAGGGCACAGAGGCGGGCAGCTTAGGCCAGGAGGTCGCAAGATAGTGATGGCAGTTCCTCTCTTTTTGATGTTTCAGATCCGAGAAGTCTTAAAGCTTACATTAGGTCACGAGCAATTCAGATTGAAATGGGTTGGCTTCGAGGTAAACAAAAAATAGCCCATGTCGGCTGCTCTGGAGCCTCCTCACACCATCTTCTCTGGATTCTGGGTGACTTTTAGTCTATACTGCTAGTAGATCGGAATATACATTTGTTCCCGGCGTTTAGAAGTAATTCCAGATACACGAAGAGGTAACTACAGAGCTCCTCCTAGCGCGAAAGAATACCACCTATGAGGAAAACACTGGCCTCCCTGGGCTTTACAGAAGGAAATGGGTAAGCAGAAGAAGATGGAGGCATTTGCGAACAGTAACCTTGAGGATAATTAGCAAACAAGAACAAAAAACCCCAACGAAACAACACATCCTGAAAAAAACCACATTAATCTCCCTGGGGAAGAGAGAGGGCAGTAGTGGCTGAGAAGCTCAGGGAGGCCACACTTCCAAATGAAGTGGAGGGCACTTTCTTTACCAGCCATGAGCTAGTTCAGAGGCCTCAAGTTGTTCAGATTGAGGGGCTCTCTCAGGGCACATTAATGGTGTATTTGCCCTCCTCCATCCAGTGGGAAGTTCTCCACCACACTGTTCCCAAAGTACAGACAGAACTTCAGAAGAATGTTCCTGCACGCGTGTTCTTTCTGGTTTTTTGCCAGGTGTTCAGCATCCAGAAACATGCTGGCACTAAGGTGGTAATATGTCAGATATAGTAGCAACTTTAGTCTGAAATGTTTAAAGTTAAAGTTTATTTGTATTCTTTGTAGGAATAGCAATAAAAGACCTCAAACGTATCTATATCTGTACATGTACAAGAACCATCAAAAATTATTCACAGAACAAAAATAAATCTTCTTTAGAACAAACCCAGGTAATGAAATGCAGGTATGGATCTCACGTATGGAATAATAGTGCTACCAGCACAAAAATATGGCTTTAAAAGTAAAATAAAATCTTGGGTTTTGTTTTTCTAAGGTGTATTTCTCTTTCTTGAAATAAAAAATAAATTATTTAGAGCTATCATTGTAAAATAGTCATGTGCATTAACACATTCTTATTAAGGCCCTGGAGATGAAGAACAAAATCAAATTTAGAAGGTAAAACTCCTCACAGGTGTGATTCCGGTTAGTGTGCTGTGCTGTCTGCTTAATTTTAATGTGACTATGAAACATCTAAGCACCAGTCAAAATTTAACCTCCACTATTTATCTCAGAAAATTTTTCTGCAGGATGGTGGTCATGGAGTCAATTAGCATTTAACCTCTTGGTGAACTGAGAATTCAGATTTTTCCCTTGGGAGTTTAGAAATGACCTAAATAAGATATTTATACATAAACCTTTGTACTCCCTCCCACAGATGATGGAGGCCCCTAAAACACAGCTTCTGTGGAAACAACAGATAAGTCTGGTTTTAGGTCCCAAGCTAAAACATTTCCTAGTGAAATATGAGAGCATTTGAAGGAAAAATAGGAAACGAATCAGAAATTTAAGATGCATGCTGAGATACGGGCAAAACTACCACCTTGCCTTCCTGGGGTGACTCACCATATTTGCCAAGTCTTGCTGGGTTGGTTACTCAAATACCTGAAGATTAACTGATTACAAACCAAAGCTACTTCTCTCTGGGTCCTACTCTCAGATCAGTGCCATTCAACTTTCTTTCCATCCCTCTCCATGGTAGGAATGGTGATATCTAGGATTCTTGAGACCACATCAAACCAGATCAATTTCAAGTTACACATAACACATACGGTGCACTTTAAAGAGGAACGAACCACAGTTATAACATCTAGCAAATGAGAGCAGAAAATCTAAAAAGCTCAAGAAATTCTGAGAATTATTGGTCTGTAAGCGATTAACATTCAGAAAATGGAAGCCCTAGGAATTGTGTGTTTTGTGGGGGGGGGTGGGGGCGGGCTGCATGTGTGTTGTCTACAGAAACTGCCTCTCCATTTATCTATGTATTTTAAGATCAGGCAAAGGGCGTCAGTTCTGTATCCTTGCACCTTTGGGCTACCGAAAGGCTGCCATGCATTAGTCTCCTTTTGTATCATGTGTCTTCCTCATGCTCTTTCACTCTTCATAAGATATTTATTCTATCTCATGCAAATTTCATCACTTTTGTCCTTGCTAGACTCCAGAGCGTTCATAATTGGGTCATGACAACAAGAGAATGCTTCTAAAACTAGCAACACTCAAATATGGAAGGAGATTCTATTTAAAAATTCAACACCCCAACACATCTTGCTTTTAAAAGACTAGTAAAAGAGGGTCTTTCAATTGACACATTGATAGAAACAAAGTATCCCAAATCTTGGCCCTCAGGTGGGAAGGCAACTCTTTGCTGCTGGGACAAGTTGGGGATCTCACACTGGACTTGGGAAGGGGAAGGGGAATGGAGAAGAAAGTCCCTTTGGCTCCACACTCTGAAGGAGGAGGTGGCCCCCACGGGTGCAGCTGACAACACACTGAAGCTGTGGCATGGGTGTGGGAGCTGCTAGGCCAGGCCCAGTGACAAGGCTGGTCTGGTGTCCAGCCTGGGCTCAAGTTCACATGGGACTCAGGCAATCCTAAAGAGGGTTCCTTCCCCAAGTTCAGTCCCATGACCAGCTCTCTCAGGAACTCCAAACTGGACATTAACTAGAACTTAACCTAGGTGGAAAGCAAAGCAAATACTAGTGCAAACTCATTTGATGGCCACTGTCTTGCTCTGGGACTTTCAAAGAACTCCCAACCCAGGGTACCTCTGAGGACAGAGTGAGAGCCAGGGGCTGAAAGAACCACAGATACATAAACAAAGGCCAAGGCCGACTAAGATCTGGAAAGCTTTACTTCTAAAGTCCAGCTAATTCTCAAGGTCACGCAGCAGTCAGAGAAAGGAACACATCCAGGGAAAGGTGGAAGCTGACCAGAGAAAGCCACTTCTGCCCAACTCAGTACTGAGAACAACAAAGGCTACAGCAGCCTGGTAAGCTCATTTTACCACACCTTCCTCACCAACAGGCCACCCTACACTCCAACAGTACTGTGGTGACAGCGCCTGGAACACAGCGAGCGTTCCAGTGTTTGCTGCAGTTACCTAGACGTCATCTCCTGGGTCAGGGTTTATATTGCAGAGACTCGGGGAATATGATGACTTGATGGAAGGAAATGTAAGTCTGCTGCTTCGGTCCAGGAAGCCTGTTGCCCCAGTGATATAAAAAGGGAGTAGGACAGCTCTTTCCTTAATTCCTAAATCCTACCCGCATTGTCCTTGTTAATGGCCAAGTCCGGCTGTCAGCTTGCTTTGCAAGCTCATCACCTCAACTCCAAATTCCACTCAACCATGGTCCAGGCTGCACCGTGCCACGTGGTGACGTGGGGGTGGAAGGCGGAGCGAAAGACACCGCTGTCTTAATCCACTTGCCCTTGACCGACCACTCTCTCCTCCCAGCAGAACAGAGGGAGGTAGTTATTTGGGCTAAAGAAAAGCAAATTAAGCACTGCCTCTGTAAAAATGACCAGCTGTCTCCTGCAGTCTTTCATACGTGGAAGATCTTTCAGGATAAGTGCCACAGGTTGCAGCTTCTCAGGGGAAATACTCAGAAAAAATATCTTGATAGGAATAGGCTCAAAGGATAATCTAAAATTTAACATCTGGTAACAGATCTGAACTGCTGGCTTACTTCCGACTTTCTTTTTTTACTCTTTTTCTCTTCATTCATGATAACCTGGTAACAGAGGGCTGCATAATTTTTCCAAACATTTTGGGTATTTAATCTTCCGAAGCAGGCAAGCCCTCTGAGGAGCTCCCACAATGCCAACAAGAAACACACATCATCAAAAGCACATTTGATTTTTCTGTGTCTTCCCCAACCCTGTAGTACGGGTGGGCTCATCGGCCCTCTGTAAGCTGTAACCACCACTTGAGAGCTTCTAAACCTCAATGCAAGACATCACCCAAGTTATATACTTAAGGCCACTGGAAATGACAATTCTTTCACCAGGCTTTCTGCAGCACGATCGAAGGCTCTCCTAAAGGAAGGATGGAACGCAGCTGGCGTGGAGAAGAACCAGGAACAAGGACACCTATGTTTACATCCCTCTTGCCAACAAAGGTACAGCTTCAGAATTACTAAGATTTTTTTTCCTATGAAAATAAGTGATTTTGACCACAGTGCGCCCTAGGCTTAGAGGGAAGAGGTAAGACTATGTAAAATAACTACCAGGGGTCAAGAAAATAACCAAGTGCCAAAACTCGAGGGCATGAAGACCACAGATCAGATAAGCACATGAGTAGCCTGTTTTCCATCTCTGACCAGCAGAAATGGGATGATTATGGAAGGAAATGTTTTAAAAGGCTGTGGGTTGGGGCCACGGTGAGGCTGCTGAGATGCGAGCTCCGACACAAAGACCCTCCTGGGAAGGGGCCGTGCTCAAGAGGTCCCAAGGCGAGCCTGGGGCGCCGTGAAGGGGAGGCTGTTCACACATGTCAAGTCTGGGCATCACCCAAGAGGACACGATAGATGTTCTCGTTTCCTTATAATATTCTGTTAGGTAGGAACACTCACTCCATGCATATCGCTCCCTCGCGTCTTTTTTTTTGTTTCGTTTTGTTTTAATCTTCCTCCCTCCTTTTCCTTTTTTTTTCTTTTAAAATTTCCTTACAGTTTATAATTTAAAATAAACACCATTAACTTATTTGGGAAATGCTGTTGCTTTCTCAGTATAAAGAACTGCTTAGATCTTGCTTAAAGAGATTCAAAAACCCTTTTACATTATATCTGACGGCAGAGAAGGCATGAACTTTTCCTATTTGTGCAGTTATATGTACATATGTGTGAGTATATGTGTATATATATTTGTGTATATAATGTCTGTTTTAACACGTCACATTCCATACTTCTGATAATCAAGTTTGCATTCAAGATGACATTTCACACCTCTGGGAAAAAAGGGAAGTAAATGAGCTTCCACGACGGTTTCTGTCCTACAATGAAGACGAAGGTGACAAATCGGTGCGACAGAGTCATTATTGCCACATCTACGAAGAGCACGGGGATAACAACTGGGGCGTGCGGTCCTTGCGCTTTTCGTTTTCTTACTGTATAAGAGTCACCATGACTTGTGTGAGACAGCCATGCTTTGGGTCTGGATTTCCTTCCCAAATTTCGGTGAGGGAATTAGAAGAAGCAATATAAAAGCTAAGGACTGAGATAAACTTACCCTGCCCAGATATTCACTAGTACAATGGATAAAATCTTTATCCCAAACAAAAAGTGTTAAGTTACAAAGAGAAAAGTTGTTGTGGTTTTCTTAATAGGAAAGAGAGATTCCTGCTATGGTACGACTAGCCCTTTTCTGTGTGGAAGAAAGGGTGTTTCTTTTGGATGGCTTAGGGACAGCATATCTGAACATCCTCTCTGGGGGAGAGTAAACCCTGTTGGTGATGATGGCTCCCCCCCATGGGGAGGAAAGGGCAGTGGGTGTGTGAAGATGAAGATGGTATGCAGAGACACGAATATTTATAGTTCTGTAAACTCTAAAGAGGAAAAAAGAACACCCTTTATTACAACTGGGGTTAAAAAAAGCCCCCTATCTAAAACGGAAAATTCCCATCTGCTCTCGACAGAAGGAAATAAACATCAACAGGAGTTCAACAGAAATCACTCTTCAAGTCCAGTTTTGATGCAACAGCTCTGATCTGTCTTCCCAGACAGCTGTCCACTTGGGCCCGGTCTTGGGTTGGCCAGTGGGACAAACGGTTGTGTGGTTCCTGGTAGTTGCATGTTCTCCTACGGGACAAGGGGCCAGAGTGGGGTTTGGGGACTGGCAGGTGAATCCCTGAAAAATTCATTCTGACCACATCCTAGGTCTATCAGATAGACACTTGGTCTCTACCTACTGGGCTCATTTCTCACTCACACATCGTCCCTACTTTTCCTCCTCTAACAAATGCAGTGCTTTCAACGAGAGGAAAACAATAATAAAAATAGTAATAATTAAAAAGGTAATCTACATTATTAACTTCCTTTTGGTATATTACAGTGGTATTTTCTGTACATGGCCCAGAACTAAGTTCCCTATGTACACAGAGGCGGGGGGGGGGGGGGGGGGGGGGGGGGGGGGGGGGGGCATCGACCTTGGAAGTCTCAGCCTTATGCCCTGAAAGACAAGGTTCCTTCTTCATTCAAGAGTTTCTCGCCACTCTGCTGTTATAAAGTGGCGACATTCTGTAAACCTTCTGGGGGTTGGGGGAAGGGCTGGGGGCAGGAGGGCGGGGAGAGTTCCTTCTGTCTCCTCCCACAAAGGCCGTCAGCAGCTGCTGTTTTTGAATTCACCATTCTCCGTGATGGAAAGCTTGGTGGGGTTGGTGGGGGAGATGCCATTGCGGACCTGCATGCTGTATCGCTCCTTCACCTGCGTCAGCGCGCTCATCAGTCTGGTGTTGGCTGAATCCAGGGACACGATCCGTTTTTCCTGCAACACACCAATCGGGGTTTTATTCAGGCCACACGCAGGACACCACAGCGTGACATCCCACTGAACGACTGTTCTAGTGCTTTCTATCAAACAGCAGTATGCATGATGCTTCCCGGACAAATGGAACGTCTCTGCCTCTTTCTGCACACTACTCAGGTTCAACTTCCCTGAGCCCAATGGGTCTGTGTTTATTTTCACTCTCTCTCTTTTTTTCCTTTCAGCACAGCACGACTGGTTATTAATAATCCCTTGGGACATCACGACGATGTGAAAAAGACACCAGGTGTTACTACAGATGGTGCAACAGGGGTGTCAAGCTGCCTTACGGTATTCAGTGCTCTGGGTCAAAATTAAGACAAGGAAATTAGGTGGCAAAGAAAGAAGCACCAGAGGTTTCATTTCACGGAGGAGAAGTGCGTGTGCTCTGTGGAGCTCACCCCCGAGAGGGCATGCCAGTCACATTTGGAAAGAATTCACATTGTCCTCAAAATTAAAATGATACATGGTGGCAGTTTATAGTCACCAACAAAGTGAGGATGCAATAGCAAGAGGGGAAAAAGCAGCCAGAAGCTCAGACCGAGGGGTCTTGGATATGGGAAGGGAGACGTGGCCAAAGGGGGATGCCAGAAACATAACACATGAAAACAAACAGAGAACACAAGCTCCTAGACTCATTCCAGCTCAGAGTTACTCCAGGAAAGCTTCCCAATAAGGAGATTGCTTTAAAAAATGCCTTAGAACCAATATTTTGTAACCAAAGTTGTTGAATAAGTACACATAAAAAAAAAAAAAAAAAGCCAAGAGGGGAAAAAGGGCCAGAACGCCCTCAAAATATGGCAATCTAAGGGAAAGTAGGCTCATTTATATTTAAGGAAAAAAAAAAATCACCCCATCAACATATTATCAGTCTCACAAAGATTAGGAGAGAAACCCTCATCTTAGTTTCAGCAAGCAGGGAAATCATTCCAGAACATTTCCAACATGAAATTGTCATTTTCCAGAAAAGGGCTGAAAGCTGAGAAGGGTGGTCTTCACCTATGTCCATGAAATTAAAAAGAAAAAACATGCGAGAAACCACCCCCGAAGCCAAAAGGAGCTTTCCTATCCTGGGAGTGTTAGAATCTACCCTGGGGCAGCATGGTAAGGCTGGTCATGGTCACGGTCACGGCTTGGCTCGGTGCAGGGAGGATGGGAGGGCTGAGAGTGGACGCCTCTCCCTGCGCTCAGGCAGCAGCCACCAGGGCCGGGGGTGGGAGGTGGGGGCGTCCTGTGGGAGCTGTGGCAAAGGCATAAGGGACAAAGGCATCAAGTAACGCCCCCCTTTAATCTGCTTTAGGGGTGGGGCGGCAGGGCTAAGTGGTTTAAAAAACATGCAAAATTAAAAACCTTGTTATTATCATTAAAAAAAATGTCCTCCTTTCCCCTGATGGAGATCTCAGGTGGTAAGACACACAAAATCAGCATTATTAGGTCAGCATTCACCTGGTATAAGATTCTTTTTATTTTGGGAGGGCAACTCATTTTCAGGGTAGGCAAAACTCAAAGAAAGAAAGATCTGTGGGGCTTAAAAAATAGTAATTAAAAAACCCCATAATCAATGGATTTTCTGAGATAACAAGTACAGATCTTTAAAAAATCAGTGGGGGCACCTGGGTGGCTCAGTTGGTTGAGTGTCTGTCTTGATCTCAGCTTAGGTCCTGAACTCAGGGTTATGAGTTCAAGCCCTGTGTTGGGCTCCATGCCCAGCATGGAGTCTACTTAAAAAAAAAAGAGGCAGTAGGTAAGGACTGGCCAGTGGTTATCAGGAAATAAAAAGTCGGGGTCAAATACGATGTTTCCCTCCGATGGTTAAGAATCATCTCTGAACAGAATAACTGGTCAATAATATCTTGAAATGATTAAAAAAGAAATTTTAGTATTAGGATAAATTATAAGACCCCTACTACAAAGGAATGTAGGATTCTTCAGGTTTACCCCAAAATATGTATTTTCTTTTAATTTATAAAAAGTTATTTGATCTTAAAGGGTCAAAAAGAAGGTTAAGAAGGACTGCAATTATTTATTCCCTACAAGAGTAACAGCTGAAGCCAAGCAACGCCCTGCTGAACAGCTAAAAGTTTCCAAGTGGACAAACTCCCTTTTGTATTCCCCCCCACTGCCAACTTCTTAAAATAAAACAAAAAGGAAAAGGAAAATAATCAAGTAGGGACTTTTGAAAGTCAAGTTCAGTTGGCAAAGATGCTCTGACGTTTCGATTCCGCCTGGCTCGCAAGGCAGAGCAGTCTAGTCCGAGCCTGCTGGGAAGGATCTCCAGTGCGGGGAGTGCAGGAGCTGGAATGCGTAGGAAGCGGGTGTGCCGGGCCAGGGCCGGGGCTGCTCGGCTAGAGCACGGACCGGGGACCGGGTTTACTTGCCTGTTTGAATAATCTCATCTCCATTTATGACCTGTAATTTAACACAGCGGAGATATCACTTTGCAACAGTAACGAGGCAGCTGCTCGCTTCTCAGAGTGGGGAGCCCTTCTCTGTTGTCCATCTAAGCCACATGGAGAGATCCTGGGGTAGGGGTGAAGGTGGCACAGTCCCCAGTGTGATGTTTAGGAAACAGTCCCCTTAGTTCCATCACCAGGATCCCCACGGCCGTGCTATGGGGCCCAGAGGTGACTCTGTCCTCCCCAGTGGGATGCACATACTCGTGCGGTGCCAGCTAGGAAGGGCCTGGGCCAGGCTGGGCCTCACAGCATAAACTCTAGGAGACTGAACTCAGGGACGAGCCTTGCCTGTAGGGGCGCAGGACTGTGGACACAGGGGAAAACCGGTTCACTGGCCCCCAGGCCTGTAGCGCTTCAGAAAATGCTGGGCTCAGCTCTAATAGAAGGAAAGCAACCGTATGCATTTCAGAAATATTTTCCACCACCAGTGGCAGGAAAGAAGATGCCAGGGACATAAGAGTGTGGGCTACCTCACTGGGAAGCTTTCTCCCCAAACATGTGTGTGCTCGATAAATGATGCCAGAGGGCTGCTCTGCCCCATCAAACACTGAAGATGTAAGGAAAGGATCCGATAGAAGAAGTCACTCATCACAAAGGATGCCAAAAGAGGTTCAATGTCTTTTGCTACAATAAGATTGTGTCAGTAAGACAACAGCTGGAATTGGCGGTTATGCTTTTTTTTTTTTAATTAGCTTTAGTGTTTATGACTTGTGCTATACGTGGTACACTGGTTTTCAAAATGTGGTCTAGTGGATTCTCCAAGTATTCTTCAGGGATCGCTGGTGGGCCCCTGGTAGAAAGCTTATTATACAGCAATGCCTATGTTTGAAAGGTAATTAGCTATATTTAGCCACCCTCAGGGTGACTTAGTCCCTGGACTGAAAATGGTCCTTGTCAGTGGGGGTCAGTAGGAGCAGCTGGGAACTGATCTACGGAAGGTCCCTCCGGTTCGACCAAAATAGTCCATGGAATCAAAGCATTTGAAAAACCACTGCCTTGAGGTATGAAGCCCAAATATCTGGGTTAGGCAGTCCACAAGTCGGCAGTGACTGATACCCTAAGGATCACACTTCCCACGTTCCTGAACCCTCCTGGTTAACTTAGAGAAGGTCCTTACTTTCCAGAGCTTTTGAGGCCTGATAGACCCTATTCTCTTCTTTGTTTTCACTGTCCATGCCTAGGACTCCTGCTTTACACCCAGTCATCTTGTCCTCAATACAGGGGACAGGAGTGGGTAGGAATCTTTGTGCACGGAGCCGTGACCATGACACACCCAAGCTTCCTCTGCTTAAGTATGACACAGTTCTAGACCAGCTGGAATTATGAAAATGATCTGTTTTATCTCATCAGAACGAAACTTTCTCCTGGTGTGGTTATTAATAGAACTCTTCCTAGATCATTTTGTCATGCTGAAAATCCCAAACTGAAAACTTATTAACAGTAGTTCGCTGGACTAAATTGCCTTCTGTATCCAGGCTGTTTCTCTGAAGGCTCTGGGACGAAATCTGTATACTATGTATGGCAAAGTGGCCTGGTCTCCAGGACCCTTCCCATACCCACTTTAGGGACACCTAGAAAGGTTTAAAAAAAAAAAAAAAACCAGAACCAAGCCAGATAATTATAGCAGACCTTTCTTCTGATTTTTATGAGGTCCAAATATCCAGGAACTGGAGTCCAAAATATTCCAGGAACTCCGCTGGCAAGAGTGGCAAGGCCCATGCTTCAGATTCTGGATCTCCCTCTCTCTCTGACCCTCCCCTGTTCACACTGTCTCTATCTCTCTCTCAAAAATAAATAAAACATTAAAAAAAAAAAAAAAAGAGTGGCAAGGCCCACAGGCCGGGTGTGTCTGGGGAGCGTGACTGGAGGCCTCTGCTTTCAGGCTCACCCCCAGCTCCTTCGAAAAATAAACCCCACGCCACATTAATCCTGTCAGGAAGCTAGACAGGGGGCCTTAAGTGCAGGCCTCAGAATCCCCGGGGCTCTCACAGAGATGCCCCCTGGCTGCTCTGCAGAGAAGAGAATAGAACTGAAGTCCTTGCTCCCACTTTTATTTCATTGCTTAGGGACAGGATGAGGTCGTTAAGGGTGAAAAATGCAAGCCTGTGAGGGCCGGCTGTCTTCAGGGAGGGGACACCCTCCGTGGCTAGACCATCAAGATCAGAACTGCACCTGTCTTTTGTTGTCTGTTTGACTCCAAGAAACACAACCATATTTCGCATTGATAGAATGAAATGAAATCCGCAATGTGTCCTGCCTCCCGGAGTTTGCCCTGATCACTCGTGTGCCCCTGGGAGCTGCTCTTGGCAGTCGTCACGCCATTACTGTCACAGGAGCACGCTACAGTGTTCTGATTTCATCAGGACCAAGAGGCTCTCTAAGCACAGCCAACAAAGAAGGGCAGCCAAGCAAATTCCAAGCATCACTGCCAAACCCTGGACTGAAAGAGCAGCAAGGAAAGGTGCCTTCCACGCCCCTGCCTTTCCCCTACAGTTCCACTAGTACGTGGGGCCAGAGGTCGGTGGCACAGTGGACGTGACTAACAAGACCGTGAACATCACAGCCAAGCAATGGTCAGTGGAGGTCACAAGCCAGACACATGCAGTGTGCTTTTCACAGTTACCCCCTCGGAGAATGCCCTCCTTTCCACAAGGAAAGGAGTAGAGCCCATCATGCACTAGATTGAGATCTGTCAAGCAACTGTACTAAGCACGCTAATACTTTGCCGGGTCAACACACTTGTCACCAGTAAAAGAAAGGAAAAGTAATACACAAACTCTTTTAATCTTCAGAAGGTAATCCGGAGACCTTTCCAATAACCCATTTTCCAGTAAGTGCCTTGGCATTTCCACAAGGTCGGAAGTAGGGAAATTTAACAGTTACTACAAACAAGTGCTTTGTACTAGATTCAAGGCCTGCTTACCTGTGCATCAATTATTTTTTGCTTTGCATCAATAACGGCTTGCATCTCAGCGTGGTCCTTCTTCAGTTCCTCTTCCACGGCCATGAGCCTAGAATGTGCAGCAGGGAGACATGGGCGTTAGAGAGGCCAGCTAATGTAGGGCGCAAGAAACCCACACTCCGCAGAGTCCAGGTTTTCCCTCCTTCCCAGTGAGAGGTCTGTAATCATGCTTGCTTTCTTCTCTCCTGCCCTTGGAAGAAGACATCCAAGGCTGACTTCTCGCCCTGTGACCAGATCTGTAAATTTTCATCTCCCCTAGAACACTATCATCATTTCTTCCCTCTCCTCTGCCAGATCATTCCTTCAGCACAGATTATTTCGTTGCAAAGTATCAAACCAACCAACAAAAACCTAACAACCCTCTCTTCGTCTCAGGTTCCCTTGTGACAGCTGTCCCTTCTTTCCCTGCTCTGCAGTTTCTCAGAGTGAGCGATGCTCAGGAGGCCAACTTTCTCTCTCGGAGCCACTCACATCTTAGCCCACTGCCGCTCAACTCCATGAAATTGCTCCATGCCTGTTTCTTTGTTTGTAAAATAAGAATAATACCTGCCTCAGGGGTTGGCATTCAATACATTTTTATTAACTGATTAAACCAATTATTATTTGTAAAGTGCTTAAGAAGAGTGCCTGGGGGCGCCTGGGTGGCTCAGTTGGTTAAGTGCCTGACAGCTCAGAGCCTGGAGCCAACTTTGGATTCTGTGTTGCCCTCTCTCTCTGCCCCTTCCCCGTTTGTGCTCTGTCTCTCTCTCTCTCTCTCAAGATAAACATTAAAAAGTTTTATAAAAAAAAATGGGACACTTGGGTGGCTCAGTCAGTTAAGGTCTGACTTCAGTTCAGGTCATGATCTCACGGTTTAGGAATTTGGGCCCCGCGTTGGGCTCTGTGCTGACAGCTCAGAGCCTGGAGCCTGCTTTGGATTCTGCATCTTCCTTTCTCTCTCCATCTCTCCCCTGCTTGTGGTCTCTCTCTATTTCTCTCTCCAAAATAAACATTAAAAATATTAAAAATGTTTAAAAAAAAAGAAGAAGAAGAGTGCCTGGCCAGCGGTAGGTGCCACGTGTTTGAGAGAGCCGACCCCTCCCTCCGTGTCCCTGCACATCTTTGGCACTCTTCCTTAGTTCTCTGGCCCCAAAGATATCCAGAGACACTCCCTTCCCACATCTCTGGACTCGTGAAAAACTAAGTCACTCTTGGGCTCAAATCGGAATCCTACGTCCCTTCAATTGAGTCACTACGTTTCCATTTTTTCCTAGTTGTTATGATGAAAGAAAAACAGACTACTACTGTCTTCAAAGGAAGTGTACTAAGGCCTCGCGGTTAGAAAACTTGAAGAGACACAGTCATTCATCACATTCGCCCCAAGCACCATGGAGGGTAGGGAGAGTGCGAGTGGCTCTTGCTGCCGCTGCTCCAGGATCCTTTTGGTGGGCTTCCTGTCCGCCTGTGCCCCTAAGCGGCCCCCAACCCCGACGGCGACCGCCTCACCTGCTGATGATGCTCTTCATCTGGCTGTCCTTCTCCTCCTGCTGCCGGCGCAGGCGCTCCTCGCTGTCCTCCAGCCGCGCCTTGTACTCCAGCAGCAGCTTCTGCATCTGCTGCTCCTGCACCAGCAAGCGGCGCTCGTACTCCTCCAGCCGCCGGCTGGACATGCGCAGCCGCTCCTTCAGCTTAGTGATTTCCTGCTCGTACTGGTGTGGGGGAGAGGCGCCAGGGACACAGAGGGGAAGGCTGCAGTTAACACTGGTTTGAAAATCAACGTACTCGACGGTGTCTGGGCTGCCATTCTGCGGGCCGCGAACATGCTTTCAGATGATTGAAAGGCATAGCTGATAAAGGAGCTCTCTCCTCCCTTCCCCTAACGTCACACATCTCATCCTCACTTGGCATCTCAGATCTATATATTTGTGCATCTCTTTCCACCTTAAACTATCAGTTACTACAAGCCACATCCAATCTATATCAAATGGGGGCAGGAGAAAAAAAGACTCGGTAAATAGAAACCTGAAGAATCACTTAAAATAAGCCAAAAGCCAGGTGTCTACCCGAGGAGAGGTTTCTGGACCATCACCTGCACCCCAGGACCTCCGACACACTCTGGCTCATCAGGCTGTCATGGCTTCACTCTACCAGAATCAGCCCTTCAGGGAGCAGGCAACATTTCTATAATGTTACGCTACTAAATCAATAAGTAGAATCTGAAATAGCAAAGTAAGCTATTGCTGCTTTCTCCCCGACTGCAAGAGTGTAAACTATTCAGGTCACAAGCACTAAGCAAAAGGCCTACATACTCTCCGGCGCTGATGAATACTGACTCTTGGCCCATTTTCATGATGTGGTTCATCTGCTCAGTTTGATCCAGCCTGATGAGCATGTTTGTCTGTTTTCTCACTAAAGCTTTATATAAGTTTATAGAAACTAAAGCTGTACGTAATAAATTCTCACTAAAGCTTGAACGTCACACTTTCAGGTGAGGTGAGAAGCACAGGATCTCTCGTAGATGGTCTGCTTAAATTCATTAGTAACTCATAATGAATCTCTATGGTGCTTGGTAAAATGCAATCTGTTTTCACATAATGTCCAGTTTAATTGATAATCAGGCAGTGAGCTTCTGCTTACTCAACCTCATGATCCTAAACTATATTCATTAATCCAGAGGTCACAGATGACAGTTTTTATGACAGTTTAAAAAGGTAGACTGCATCAATAAGCATATTATAGGATTCTGTGGGTGATTTTTGGATTTTAAGATCATGCTGATAAGTAACTGGTTGTGTGGTTGTTAGAGAATGCCACACATGGTGTCAAGGTTCTTATAATCCTTTTTTTCCATGTCAACTTTTCTTCAAAACTAAACAGAAATAATAGATAATGTCTGTTTAAAAATCAATATAGAGCCGGCAGTTCTTTATCCAGAAAAGGCAAAAAGAAAAAAAAAGACAAAATTAACAAGACATGGAAAGGAAGTCTAGTCCAAGGACAATTTTGCCCGTGGTTGAAGACTAGCAACAGGATTATAGAAACACTAAATATTCACCTACAGTGATAAGAAATGAACAACAGAATGTTTTCCAAATTAAGTTAACCTACATAAAAAGAAAAGGTAGGCTGATGGACATTTGTTGCATATTTTCACACACGGACACTACTGAACTGTCTTACAGGTATTGGTATTACGGCTAACACGAGACGTGGAGTTGACACTGTTGGGAGCGAAGAGCTCAAGTTCTCGGCTAGACAACCTCTCTGGTGGCCTCTTGGTGTGGGGGCACTAAGTCAGTAAAGACGAGTGGGTTCTACCTTCTCAGCATGCTTGGATTCATCTTGATTTTGCTCAGTTTCTTCCACATCCTCTTCATATTGGCCATTGTTCAGAACCCAGGCTGCTGTCCTCTCCACTGGGGACATTGTGGCAGAGTCCACAGGTGACTGAACCTGCATCAGAAACACTTATTAGCATCTCCCTAAACAGCTTGTCCACTAGTTAGGTTTTGCAAAGGGAGTTCTTCTTGGAGGACAAAATTGTGATCTAATAAATGCTCTCAGTTCTAGGTAATATTTTATTAATGACAGGGCTGGCGGGGAGGAATGAGAATATCTCCTTGTTGAAGAATACGCTCTTCTGAAGAGAAATTCCTATGCATCGCATCCAAGAAAAGAAGGCCCAAATTGTCCATCAGTCTAGTGATCCAATTACCAATGAAATTACAATGATGACAGAATAAGAGAAAGGGTATGACTTGATGGCTGGCTGCTCAGCTGACGAAATGGCTGTTTAACCCAGAGACGAACAAACTCACAAGGTACCCATTTATATATCAGAATGCTGAGCCCTTAATTCTCACATTAATCATGTAGAGAAAGAAAAAACCACGATGATGATTTTTAGAGAGCGTGGACTTCTTAATGGGTTAGGCCCATTCAGAAATCTGTATTTTAGAGCAGTTTCTTAAAGAATACAGGATCAAGACAAAAGATATTGGATTAGCTTAAGGGACATTTCAATCCAGTTAGGTTAGCCAGATAAAGTGCTCTTTTCCCATACTGATATATTAGAGCGATAAGAATTCTGGTCTTAAGTAACTACCCTGCCATTTAATATTCTTTTCTCTTTAAGACTCTTTTCTTAATATCACTGATTAGATGTTACCACCATCACCATCACTATCCACCCTGGTACCTATCTCATGGGGAGTTGTAGGGATTGAGTCATATAGTGTATGTGAAAGTTTTTTGGAAACTACAGAGTACTACAGAACTTGGATGTTATCATATTGATGTTTAGAAAACTGGCATTGGATATTATCATTTATATTGGCCTATAGTGCTTTCTCTACAATGCTAGAAATAGAAAACAAATTTTTTCTCTTCAGTATGCCTGAGAGAGAGAGAGAGAGCGAGAGAGAGAACAAGGGAGGTTGGAAGGGAGAGAGAGAGAGAGAGAGAGAGAGAGAATACGAGAACAAAGCACCATTTGGGAGTTACCTCTGTATGGGAGAGAAAATTCCCTTCAATTATGAGATTATGGAGTATTGGTCCTCAAAATAGAAATCCATTTTAATTCTAAAAGGCTTTCTGCCTTAAGATTATCTTTATGTCATTCTGAAATAGAATCCAGTTAAACTCTAAATGGACAGTTATTTTAAAAGAAGGGGTATTTTGATGACTTTGCAATTTAGATTAGATGAAAAATATTGGCTGCAGAGACTAAAAGGTTATCAAAGACAGGTTTGGAGAAACTCTGCAAAATACACAAAGCAAGTAATATGAGGATGTTTCGTAAAGGCCTGAAGCAGAACCTGGTTTGGCTGATTTACAAAGAAATTACAAATATATCAGTAAAAAGTGGCATCACACCTAATGTGCACATAAGCAGTTGTTAATGGACTTCTGGCTAGAAGTTGGTTAAACTCCTTTAAAACCAATTTCTCCACTGTATCAAGGAGCATGTAAACATGTCTCTACCTCCACTCTGGTATGTAAGTATGTTTCTCATACTTCATTCATTTGTGTATCATTTTATTATTTTTGTCATAACCACATTATCACTGAGACATTATTTATCCAGTTAGCTAAGTCCTTATGCTAAGCAATAGTATCAGTAAAATCATGATTTTGAGGTTTTATATATATATATATATATATATACTTATAAATATTAAGTCATATTTTTCTAAAATGTGTTAAAATACATGATTAATTAAATAAACATGTTGTATACGTAAATAATTTTGAATATCACTCTTTAGAAACACTGGCCTATAAGACAGAGGACAGGGTATCATCTATAATGGAAGGTAGTAATTATCCACATGGAAAATTATTATAAGAAACAAACGAGTCAGCATGTATAAGCATTTTGTAAGTGGCAAGGTACTTTACACACACACACTAGTTCTCCCCCTACTGGACTTTAAAAGCAGAGCACAATAAACTGCTTCAGCATTGGCAGAGAAAAATAGTTTTAGAGGTTTAGAGGTTTAGGTTTCTATTTGATATATATATACACCTGAAAGGCAAAATAATGTGGTTATGAGTTTTAAAAAATTAGTAGAAAGCCAATATTTAAAGGAGACAAATGCCTTTTTAATTTTATTATATTATCACTTTAGCACATAGGGCAGAGAAAAGCTGCTTCTCTGTGAAACCAGGATTTTCTACTCATTAGCAGTTTGAGATAAAGCAGGTACTAAAACTAATAACAACTTTACTGTTTGGAATTTATTACTTCAAGACAGCTAATTCAATAGCTTTCTACTTTATCTAGTTAACAAAATAGATGTTGCTTGAATGAAGCTTCTTTCCCTGTGATTTGTTATGGGCTAACTATGTATTGGGTGCCTATAAATGCACTGCACACTGAAGATATTCCTAGAACACACTGAGGAGAGACCTTAGCTCCTACAAGCATATTAAAACAATGACTGCTTAGCACAGTCTAGGCTTTGACTCTTAAGTGAGAAGCTGTAAGAATGAGAGTTGGTTCATTGCACTAGTGACGGTGGTAGCTACCATATCTTCAGAGGGACGAACAATGTCCAACGAATTATAAGAGATTGTATGATAGAACTGGGCATTTGGGTCTATTCCTATTGCATGTGTTGAATCTGATTTTCAACCCCTTCCTCATATATCCAAGCACTCTGCATGGCAATAGGTGATCAATACATGCTGAAAAAAATATTAACTATTCCCTGTATTCCTGGTAAAACCAGTACAAAATTACAAAGAACAGAAAAGTAATATTAAACACATCAAAAATAGTTAAAAGAGAGGTGATTTTTTGGTTTCTTTAAAAACTATAGACCATCTCTTACATTTTTTTCTACTGATCTTGTGTGTGCTGGTCTTGCTTCCCAATTAGATTGTCAATCCTTGAGGCACAGTACCATATTATACAGTTTTCTCTGAATGATAGTGACTATGTAACTGCATAATAAATACTCAACATTATTCATTTATTAATACTCTGGTTCTCTTTTGAATTCATATACTAAAGTATAACATATTACTAAGAGAAAGATACTGTATGTCTTTTCTTCTAATCCTTCGGAAGTACGTCAAAGGTTTTTCTTTAATGACTGTTCCATCTCCTTTATAAGCTGGCAAGGATAGCAAAATTTGTTACCTCTAGTTTATAGTCAAAGAGATTGGGACAAGAGGTTGGTAAGTGCTTCAAATCCCATTTTGCTTAGCCTTAGGGAGAGTATTTGTATCCAGTGACTTTCAACAGTGGATCATTAAAGAAAATGAAGGATGAAAAAGACTAAAAGAAAAGCAGCAGGAATTCCTACCAGGACTATCTCCCCTTAGAGATAAAACTGTATAGGGTTTCTCTGAAAAAAATACTAACGCTTTAGGGCAAAAGGGCCGGAGATGGCAGTTTCTCTGAGCCTATAATTAGTCATAGCCTGGCTATGCTGAGGACAATGAACAGGCCAGTTCCCTGTCCCTTGCTAGTATTTACTAGATATAAATAAGACTTGTTGGTTTCGGCTTCTCCAAAGTCTGAACCAGTCAGGTTCAGTCAGGTTTTCATAATGAATAGCACTTCCGCTGTCCACACCAAAGAAAGGGCTGACTAAATAAGTAAACTCTGAGGGTTAGGAGAGGGTTCAACAAATCCAAATATGAAAGCTGCAGCATCATTCCAACAGGCTTGTCAGATACTATTTTAAAAGCCTCTTCAAATTTGAATTTTTGAGGTTATGTAACATGCTATATCTGAACACATACATTATACATACAGTCTATTATACACAGAGAATGCACGATACACGGAAAACAAAATGGACAGGAAAATGAGGGGGGGGGGAATCCAAAGAGAGACTGAGAAGGGTCAAAAAAATTGAAGGCAGCTTCCTGAGGGGAAAAAAAAAAAGAAATCTCTTGTCTATAGATCGTTTCACTAGGATTTTGTTTCCTTCCTACTCAGTACGTATATGGAGAAGACCAAAGCTAGCAATGCTGCCGACAATGGCCGCTCCTTTGTGTAAGATACAGATGGAATTTGCATGGGACAAAGCTGCTGATAATTACACACGCCTACAGAACAATCCCCACAAAGAAATCCTCTAGTTTTTGGGAGAGAAGAATTCCCCAACACAATTTGCAATTACAATATGTAGAGGAATTTGCCAAAAATGTGCTGATCATGGAGAAATTCAGAGGCTTCATGGGAGAGGAGAAAAGCAAGAGACAGAAAGATAAGGAATAGAAAATAACAACATAAGTTTGAAAGAATAAACCATCTGCATAGAAAGAGCGAGCGTAGAAAAACCAGAAACTTGATCAATAAAAATACAGTGATTTACGCTCTAATTGATACGATGGTGGCACTACCAGCGAAGGCATAAAGAGAGGTGAATATTTCAAGCTGTATGAGGCCATCTCACTGTGTCTGCGCCTCACGTGCCAATATAACACAGGCATCCCCCAATTCATTAATGGCTGTGGCACAAAACGTTTTTAAATTGGTTATTTGGAGACTGTATCCCATTTCCTGCCTCCCATATACCCAAGACAGCCTTCTCTTCACCCAGAGAAACCTGTACTAACTGCTGTGTGACAGGTGCTGTATTTTCCTATATCTAAGTATTATAAATGATAACTGGTTCCAGATGATCACATAGAAGGCTATTTAATTTAAAATATTTACAAGTCATCAGTCTGAGTCACATGCCCTAGGAACTGAGGGCTACATGAAACAAGGGAAGGGGTCAGGCATTCCTTTTTTCTATCCAGGCCTGGGCCCGAGTCAGCTTCTGAAAAGCAGGTTGGAGGGCCCTTTCTACTGTCCTGTCCCTCTCTGCCAATCTGAGGTTCTTCCCTACCCCGATCCCATGCTCAGGGCGCCCATGCCTGCGTGGATGTCTGTCTCCACACAGCACTCTGTCTCTCAAATTCCCTATCTTTCTATTCTCCTCTCAACAAATACTTTATTTCTCTGAAAGTTGTTGATCTCAACTAGAAGCTGGCATAAAAGCAACATGTGGAAAAGACCATGATAAGGTATGACGGACTGTCTTCCAACACATAAATTAAAAGAATACATGTGACAGAGGACACACATACGAAAGATATCAATGTGCATAAGCATTTTCATTGTATGTAGTCTTCTTTCCTTCTATAAGGATTTAGATTCCTTAATGCTTATTAAATCAAATGAATCGGTGAAATTTGGGGAAATATAAACGAAACAAAAATGAAAATTTAAGACTGAAGGAAATTTCTCTGGAAAGAATGGCCACCCGGGAGGCTCTGCCTGGGAATCTGGCTGTGGGAATCAGCGTAAGTTAGCCGTGCTTTTCATCTTTTCCTCTACTTCTGTATCGCAGGATTCTGTCAATGTTCTAATTTTTTTTTTAAGCAGTAACTATCAAGCTAGTGGCTCTGATCACAGCAGAGTGGAGGCAGAAACCGCCAACTCAGTAAATGCCTACCTATAAAAAAGCAAATATATTAAAAAGATACATTGGGGTTTTATTGCAGTCTCCTCTGATCAGTGGTTTTGCTGACGAAAGGATTTGGCATAGAACTGTTTCAATCACAAAGCTCCCTAGGACTTATAGAGTATGATTAGGTTTCAAAGAAAGGGCAGCAAATACAAAGGAGAAAAATCTTTTTTAGATGAGACATTAAATGTGTACCTATACATGTATTCCTCAGGTTGTTAGTTGGTTTCAAAAAGCAAAACATGTATTGGTGCCTGAAAATGTATCATGTGGGGAAGACATGAGTGATGAAATTCTTGGGGAAACTTTTTATTTGTAAGAAATAAGGTCCAGAAGTCTTCAGACCGGGTGTGACACTACTGGGCCTCCCCATGAAATAGAAGGGATTCGTAAATGTTTATGGCATTTGTCAACCACCTGTGTTTCTATCTTTTCAGCCCTCTCCTTTGCCTCGTCTTTATACATGCTCAGTTGTTTATCTTTCTAGCCATTTCCAGGAAAAGGCACAGGGGACTTGTTACTTCCAGAGGGAGGTGGGGGAGGGTATAGGGAGCAGTTGCATTAAACGTTTGACTCAGAATGCAGAAGTTTATTCTGGAAGCTTTAGAAAAAAAAATTAAGGAGGATTAAGGTCCAGATTCCCAAAATACATTATGGTTGATCTGGCCTCTAGCTTTGCAGTGTATGTGTTCTAATCATTCATGCAACACCGACTGATCTGTTCCCAGTGTGCACCTAGGTAGTGGCTCAGCTGCGTAAAGAGAAGGAAAAGCCCTTTGTGTGGCTTAGTCTCCTGAGGGTAATGAGTCAAGCTACGTTCCATGGCCTCACCTAGCCAGAAGCCTCCCAAACCTTTCATTTCCTCTCTCCATTTAAAAGTTGCAGAAAATGGGGCACCTGGGTGGCTTAGTCGGTTAAGCGTCCGACTTTCGCTTAGGTCATGATCTCGCGGTTCGTGGGTTCGAGCCCCGCGTCGGGCTCTGTGCTGACAGCCGGCTCAGAGCCTGGAGACTATTTCGGAGTCTGAATCCCCCTCTCTCTCTGACCCTCCCCTGCTCACGCTGTCTCTCTCTCTCCAAGAAATAAAAATATTAAAAAAAAAAAGTTGCAGAAAATGGGGTGCCTGGGTGACTCAGGAAAGCATCTGACTTCGGCTCAGGTCATGACCCCAGGGTTCGTGAGTTCAAGCCCTACATCGGGGCTCTGCACTTACGGCGGGCTCGAGCTCTGTGCTGGGCTCTCTGCTGACAGAGTGGAGCCTACTCAGGGTTCTCTCTCTCCTTTTTTGGTCCTCTGTGTATATGCACACGCTCTCTAAATAAATAAATAAGCACTAAAAAAAGTTGCAGAACGTATGTTTAAGTGGAAACATGGTTAGAAATGGGATTTCCTGATGATTATGTACAAAGAGCCAGGGAAAGAGCAGGACAAGTGGAAGCTAGACCCCTCCAGCTCTGCCCCTACCTGCTGTGTCTGTTGTCTCTGGATGGCTCTCACTTTGGGAACAGGGCTCTCTCTGGAGGAGGAAGACTGCTGCCGGGAGCGGCTCCCATTCTGCAAAGGCTCGGCCACGAGGGCTGCAGAGGCCACCGACATGCTGCCCGTGCTGCGCAAGGAAGCGCTATGGGGCAGGGATGGTGGCGCTTTGGCTCGGGCACCTAACCCAGCCTGGTCCATTTTCCGGATCTGGGCCTGCCCGGTACTGTTCTGCCGTGGCAGGGCAAGAGGTATGTGTCTGTCGGGCATAGTGTGCCGCTGGGAGAAATCCTCACTCTGGGTGCTGCGTTTGGTGAAATCTTCCATGCTGCTATTGCTGGGCCCACTGAGTTTGAAATCCTCGCTGTTACTTTGGCTTCTGGAACTGGCAGTGCTTAGGTTCTCCAAACTGGAATCCACAGAGGCCTTTGGCATTGCTGGAATTGGGTTATTGAGGTGATAGACAGGGTTCTGGAACGACAAGGGCTGGAGGCTGCCTGGCTGGTTCAAGGCTGGGTGCAGGGGCCTTCTCACTTGGGGTGCGCTGTGGGCTTCCCGCAGTTGCTTGATGCTGGCCACCTGGGTTATGGAAAGCTGGCTTCCAGTTAAGCGCATAGGCACATCGAGCATGACAGGTGCATGCTCCACTTGAGCAGTGTGAGTGTCCTGAAGGTCCATGAGGGAGATGCTCCGACCGTTAGAAAGGCTGTTTTCCTTCTCGTCCTTTTCAGAGTAAGTCACGCTCTGCGAGGACGCCTGCTGAACCAGCACTAATGTCTTCCCCCGGAAGTAGCTCTCTGTGTTGTCCTGGCTTGGAGATTTCAGTTTATGCAAATCACTGTGGAAAAGGAGAGGACCCTTAATAACTCCTGAGGCAAATTCAAAACAGTTACGATTTCTCAACCCAGGCACATGAACATTCCAAAGGCTCACAGGGCCAATGTGGGTACTTATATTGGTTTCTAAACTCAGATTTCATCATTATGATTCTTAAAAATCCAACATTTTTAGTTTCTCTCCAAAGATGGGGAATAACACCGTGTTTACCACTCCATTATCATCTTCAATTTTTACTAAAATTCCAGTCATTTCCTCCTTAGGTTCTAAACCCTCCCAAGTATTCTGATTCACAACCGGTTCTGTCTAAATCTTCAAGCGGAGGGAGCAGTGCTGAGTGTACAAAGAAAGGGTCCCTGATAAAGGCTCAAGTCTTGCCAATCCAGAAAAGAGGGTCAGTCTAAGAATCAATGTTGTTTCTGCCTATCCAGCTGACACGGCCAGCCATAAAATGATTTTAACTGAGGTTCTCCAGGTTTTTGAGTGCTACAATATATGAAAATATAAATTTTATAGCCCTTAATCTTCCATTAAGCTGGACCTAGATTTTTTAAAATGTTGGTTGAATATATTATAACTCTACAATATCATTGTAGAAAGTAAGAATCCCAGATCTTGTGTATTATTATGACAAACTGGATTTTTCTCAGGTCAGATGATTTTTCCCAATTGGTCATGACTTTCAAGTTGTAAATTCAACAAATAAATAGATTTATGCCAAATCTCTAAGCATCACCTCTCTCTGAGACAACAGTTTATTTAAATTCTCTCTTTCATACCTGTCAGTGGGGTCTTCAAATATTTTCTGCAGCCCAGAAGAGAGGCTTCCACTGACATTTGGACTGGAGTTATGCTCAGTGAAGCGTCTGAGTTGCTGCTGTATTGGTGTAGGATTAGTCAGAGACTTGGTAATGTCAGCAAGAATTCGAGGGAGAGGTCCCAGTTTTGCCACGGTCGCCTGTAGGAAGGAATTTTCACCCTAATTGGATAATAGGCATTGCGACATCCACCAAGGATTGTTTTTGGGACAACGATGCCCATTGATGGAGGGGTGTAGGTTGGAGGGAAGGGTAGGTGTTTGCATATGGGAGTGGCAGGTTCATAATGCATTGTTATGAAGCAGCAGAACCATGGCGTCGAGATGAATGGAGGAGGCGAAACAAGGTGCAGCAGACATCGAGGAAAGAAAGGAAATAGAAATTAGGATTACGCAAATAAAAATTAAAAGACATGCTCAAAACAACCAAACTATTGCCATTCCAACTAAAATAGGCATGCAAAGCAAACTAAATCTTTGGGAGTCTAGTAGATCAAGACGGGGGAGGGTAGGGGAAGACCCAAACACCTTCTGACCAAAGGATGTTGAGACCAGAGGATTGGCTAGTGTGATGAAACTCCCAAAGAAAAGGCATCATGTGAGAAAAGAAATGCATGCCAACATACAAGAAGGTGTTGCATTCAGGGGTCTGGAGCACTGCAGGGGACACAAATGATACTGCCATCTACTATCCCATTTCCTTTTGGGAACTCTGACCAAGGGCCAACTGGGTTTGCAATAGCAAGACAGTCTTTTTTAAAACAGCAAAATCAGGTAAACTCTATGAGCTATGTCTAGATTTACTCCTGGCTCCCAGGACTAAACACAGATTAAAAAGGAGAAAGCACGTTTATATAGCAAAGCCTGTTAAAAGGACCTTGATCCTAAATCAACTAGGCCTATTTCACAAGATTACTATAGCCGCATCCCAGAGATGCAGTTATTAACAAAGAGTAACTTTTTTGTATTGGCTTTATCCATTCTCAATCATTTTTTTCTTTGGGGAATTCTTATTCTTACGCAGTCCTTTGGGACCCCTCAGCTCTAGGGTAGTTCTACATGACTGTCTCTGGGTGTCCTTTGTCTTCTCAACAACCAAGGCTCTTCAACTCTGCTCCAATAGGTAGAATGGACGCTCAAACGCCACCTAAAGAATAGCCTTTATCTGCTCAACTTTCTTGAGCCATGGTTTGCATTCAAGGAATTTACCTCAGCATAGCTACAACTCAAAATCTAGCTAGCATTCCTATAAGTGAAGAAGGGATCCTCAAGAATAAGAGACAGTTTATTATTTTACAAATGGTAGGACACCCTACCATTTACATTGCCTCAGGAAAGTGTCTTTATTAATAGGCTTTATTTTCCTCCCCCATTTTATTGGTACAACACTTTTAAGGATAATAGGAAAGTGGGGGAAAACAAATAACATTCTTATCACAAAAAAAACTTTGTCTTCTGAAGTTATTCTAACATACCACCACACCTACTTATGAAGTACCTGTAGCAAACAAAAACATCAATAAATAATTATTGTGATAAACCTAGCCAAAGTCTAAGACTACTTTCTATTATAAATTTGATTCTTTGTAAAATTCCAGAAGGAAGAAAATGATTGGCATGGTATGTATTTAGTTACTAATATAATATATAGTAAAAATCTTAGCTTATACTCAGAAAGTAAATTAAAAATAGTATTTCGTTTTAAAAATTCATGTCTGCAGAGAAAGAAAACATCAGGATTTTCAGATCCCATGTAACTCAGTAGTACTATAGTTATACTGAACCCTCTGACTTGCAGAATAAAAAAAAAAAAATCTCATGAGTTAAACTGAACATAATAGTCTCAGTATTTTTCCAACTCCACACTTTTGTTAGAATTATTATGAAGTTTCATCTCATCCTACTTATATATGAATAAGCCTACATATAGCAATATTTGATGTTAATTTCTAGGCAAGTTTTTAGACATGTTATATATAATGTTATATATATTTATTTATAGAAATATATACTCTATTAATTCAGCTAATTTCTTAAAAATATATGTTAATAATTTCATGGCTTGCTAGAATTTCCTGGTTCTAGGGCACATATTTTACTCAGAATTGATAGCTATTTACTCCCAGGCTTCTGGCACAAACAGGTTGCTTTCAACTAGCAAGATGCGTGAAGGCTGTCACTGCAGATTCTTTCCAGAAATCAGGTACATTAAAGTTCTGTATCTCCCATCTCCCATTATGCTTCCAGCCTACTTTACCTTATCAAGTTGGGAAACTACTTCCCACAGTAAGGAATGCAAAACTGAAAGCTCTCGGCCCAGATCAATGTAACCATCAAAGCCTGGGGTGTTTGAGATGGTGTCTGGATTAGAGATCTCCAAAAGGAAGCGCTTCATTCCACCCCATTCATGTTCTAAAAAATCATTCATGAATGCCATGTATTCTTCTTTGTTACCAAATCTGAAGTAGAGGGAGAGAAAATGAGAAAGGACATATTCAGGAAAAGAGATGTTGGAGTTGACTTTACAGTGAGCTTTAAACTTTTCATTTTTATTTTGGGGAGGTAAGTGATTAATTTATAATCTGTTCGGTGATAAACGCTAAAGTATATTTTCTTAATACTGATGTAATACTCAAACACTTTACATAGGCTTCTAGTCTCTGTTGGCTAAAGCTAAAACTCTTTTTTCTGGTATTTAAAGCTCTCTGTAAATAACCTTCATTTGCCTACCACATGCTCATCGGTACAAACCTTCCACATTGCTCACTTCTTCAGAGTCTCCTGAATATATGCTGCTTCTCCAAGCCTGTGCTCTCGCTATTTGTTTTTTGCTGGAGAAGAACTTTTCCTCTTTGCCTATCTAAGTTCTAGGTATCTTAAGGCCTAGCTTAAGCCCAGAAAATTTCTTTCAAAATAAGCTGGAAGTAATTTTTAGCAGAATTAGCTCAAATATGGGTAAATACGTCTATTTCTGTGCTCATGTATACACAGCGTACACAAAGCTAAAATAGCACACTTCTAAAAAGCCACCATTTACACTAGAAAACAATCTGTCTCATTGAAATTCTACTTTTTTCCTTGAATACACTGCTAATAGAGAATCGTGTCTTTTTGGAAACAATGAGTGGCAAGAAAAAGGCATGAGTGGATGTACTCTATCACCCAAACATCGCCGCTGTTTACATCTGTGTGCATTTTCTCCCCAAAAGTTTTCTAACTTCCTTTTTAAAAATTCTTAAATCTATATAAAAGTTTAAATACACAACAAACAACCATATGGCATTCCTCCACATGAACCCACTGCTAACATTTTGCCAAGTTTGCTTTCACTTTCTCTCTCTCTCTTCTTTTCTTTTTGGCTGAACCATTTTAAACTACGTTGCAGACATAAACTCTAAATACATTAGCACTCATTTCTTCAGAATAAGGAAGATCTCTTACATAAACCAATGTCATTACCACAGTAAAACTTTTAAATCATCTTATATATAGGCCACATTTAATTGTCCTCAAAATGACTTTTATAGATTTTTTTCCCCCCAGTTCAGATCCAGTTATGATTCAAGCAGTGCAGTCTTTTAAAACCTAGAACAGTCCCTCTCCATCCTTTCACTTTTCCATGACACTGACTTCTCTTTGAAGGGGCCAGGCCAACTGTCTTAGAGAATGTAAACACTGGGTCTGTCAGATGGCTTCTCCCAATGTTTTTATACTTTAGTTTTTGTATTAACATGTTTCTAGAAGAACAGCATATGTATCTTCTAGTATCCTTTTTCTTTTTTGCTAAAGTTTTGAATGTCACTTTCCATTTAGTATAATTGTATCTGCATAATGTCCTTATTATTGGATATTTTGGTAAACACTGTAGTGGCTGCAAATATTCCACCGAACGCATGTACCATAGGTTACCTCAACCATTCCTCTATAAAGTGAATATTTAAGCTGTTTTCTTTTTTCCTCTATGTTTAATACCACCACACTGAAAATCTTGTAATATGAGTGATGAGGCTCCCCACCCCCATCCACATTCTAGGGGTCATGTATTTTTTAAACAACATTTTTAAAAAGTGCTTATGGCAGTGACACCTACTTGGCAAAGTTAGCCAAGTTCTGAATGACCTTGGCAATCAGAGTCAGAGTCCGAGACGTGCGGTCATCAGGATACTCCTGCATGAGGTTGAAAAGGCTGGGAGACATAATGGCCGGGCACAGAAAACGCAGGAACAAGGAGGCGCTGATGAGTCGCTCGCTGATGTCCTGCTTGCCACGGTTCAGGCACTGGTGCTTCCACGACGCAAACACTTCTTTCAACTCACGAGGGAAAACACTGGGGAAGGAAAAAATATCAAAACCTCTAAACATGAAAGTATCATAATCCAAGAAGACACAAGTGACTCCGCTCTGGCTCAGCACACCTGCTCGAGAGCCAGGCGAAGAGGAAAGCCTGGTGGAGAGAATTTTGCCTGATTCATGACTTAGAGTTGGTGGAAAATTCAAAGCCACCCAGATGGAGACTGGAAACCCACGGCCATAAAGCTCAGGGATTAGTGTAAATTTAGTTTTGCAAAGTGGGGAAATGGCACGAGGCTCCTGCTGGAACCATCTGGTTTAATAGAGCTTACCATAATGTCTCTAAAGAGTGTTCCTCAAAACTCTTCCAAAATCTCACCAATTGCTGGGGTTGGAGCAATGATCAAAAATCATTGACACAACTGTTTAATACTAGTAAATACTTTAGAAAGTCATAAAAATGCTTTTGGTATTAGGGCTGTGGTGCTCTTCTTCTGGGGAAATGTTATGTTTATGTAGACAGTTCCCAGGTGCTTCTGCTTACAATGGAGATTTGGCCTTTAGATGGGACTATATTAGGGGAACTTTCTCCTAAGCCCTTCTTTTGGTTGGGAAATACTAGGGTTAACACTGTGATGACTTTTACAGGGAAAACTTGAAGTTCCATAAGCAGAGGCTGAAGCGTTGACCCCTGCTCACCAGTAAGAGTTGATGATCTTGCAGAAAGCCAGCTCGCAGCACATTTTCAGGTTGCCTTGATTGTCCAGCAATTCATTAGAGGGACACTTGCTGGGATCTACTTCACAGTTCTCGTCTGACTCGTACAAAGCTTTGATGAACTCCCCTGTTAGAAGAGAGAAGATGACAGACAGTAAAACTATGAATAGTGCCTTCCTGAAGAGAATAAAAGGATTCAGGATTTCTGTCCTAAAATGTATAATGGGAATTTCTGAGTCTTGACATGGAGGGCATAAAGGATTGTTACTGCTTTAGAACCCAAGGGTTACCACCTCCCATATATCATGTTTATCTTCTTCATCTTGGAAGTGGAAAAACTACAATCACTAACTTCACCATCATGGTATTTATAAAAACAATAAAAATGATCATACTTTAAACAATGATACAACTTTCAATCTTTTATCAAAAACCACAAATATACATTTGTGTGTGTGTATATATATTCTTTAATATTTATTTTTGAGAGTGAGAAAGAGAGAAATGCACACACAGAGTATGGATGGGAGAGAGGCAGACAGAGAGGGAGACACAGAATCTGAAGCAGGTTCCAGGCTGTGAGCTGTTAGCACAGAGCCAGATGCAGGGCTTGAACTCATGAATCACAAGATAATGACCTGAGCCAAAGTTGGAGGCTTAACCGACTGAGCCACTTAGGCACCCCACAAGTATATTTAATTAGCAGGAACTCATTATTTGTTATAAGGCTGCTCTACCAGTATGAATAATGTTGTTATTATTTTAGAAGAAAAAAGAACCCAAGCTTGACTGAATACCCACCTAAGATTTTTAGTGCAAATGCTGGTGCCAAACACAGACTTGAGTAAGGGTCTCTAGGCTTACCTCTTGTAAAGGTGACAGTCATTCAACATAACACAAAATTGTAGGAGACATTTCTTTATATAATCTGCATATGTTTTTCCAAATAAATTTAGCTTAGAAGCATTGTTTATATATCCCATCCTCTATAGGATATGCCCAATATTCCCTAAACAAACAAATCCTTTCCTTACTCTTTTATCTTCTACTGTACACTATAGTGTTCTGTTTTGTGCTTCTTTGTTCACATGTCTGTCTCACATTCACAACTCTAGAATGAACACCCTTGGAGGTCAGGGGCCAGCTTCTATTCATGCTTGAATCCCTGACCTATCAAATAGCTCTCAAAGCACTGCGGATGCTCAAAGATATTTATCAGAGATGATAGCGTGTATTCTTGGTTTTTAAAAAATGTTTGTTTATTTTTGAGAGAGAAAGAGCACGAGCAGGGGAGGGGCAGAAAGAGAGAAGGACAGAGAATCCGAAGCAGGCCTGGCACTGACAGCAGTGAGCCCAATATGGGGCTCAAACTCATGAACCGGGCAATCATGACCAGAGCCAAAGTCTGACACTCAATCAGCCACCCAGGTACCCTTATTCTTGTTTTATTTAATAGGTCTTTATGACAAAGGAGTAGACTTGCAAAGATCTTTTCAAATGTGCTCATATCATTCAAAGTTCAAGCTAGTTACAATAGATTTCATGGACCTGAACAAAAATTTCTGCAAAATTTAGTAGCAGCAGCAGCAACACTAGGAGCATTTTCTATCAAAAGGGTAAGTAGTGAGGCAAGTGAAGATTTAAAAAGTAGCTATAATAGAGGATGGGAAATGATTACTTGGAAGAAAATGTTTGAAGAATAGGAAATTAGTGAATGGGAAAAGTAAAGGCTCTGGACCAGACAGGTCTAAGATGAAATCACTTAATTACTGTGCAGTCTTGAAAAGCATTTAACTAAATGTCTGAGTTTCAGCTCCCTTATTAATAAAATGGCGTAACTCTCACCCTTATAGATATGTGGTGAAGATCAGAAATAATGCATGAATAGAAAAGTATCTAATATGGTGCCTAGCACTTAGTAGGGGCTCCATACATGCAATTTAAAAATAATTTTTCATAAAGTAAAATGACCCAAACAAAAATACTTATACGAGATTTGTATTTGACATGTGCTCAAGTTCCGTATACTATGTGCTTCCACACAATTTGCCTCATTTAAAGATCAACTTAAAAAAAAAAAAAGGTCAACTAAATTTACTCTACTACAAAGCTGTAATCATCCAGACAGTATGGAATTGGCACAAAAACAGACACACAGATCAAAGGAATAGATAGAGAGCCCAGAATTGAACCCATAAATGTATGGCCAACTAATCTTTGACAAAGCAGGAAAGAGTATCCAATGGAAAAAAAGATAGTTTCTTTAGCAAATGGTGCTGGGAGAACTGGACAGCAACATGCAGAAGAATGAAGCTAGACCACTTTCTTACACCGTACACAAAAGTAAGCTCAAAATGGATGAAAGATCTGAATGTGAAACAGGAAACCATCAAAACCCTAGAGGAGAAAATAGGCAACAATCTCTTTGACCTCAACTGCAGCAATTTCTTGCTCAACACATCTCCAAAGGCAATGGGAATAAAATCAAAAATGAACTATTGGGACCTCATCAAGATAAAGTTTCTGCATAGCAAATGAAACAATCCGCAAAACTAAAAGGCAAAACCGACAGAATGGGAAAAGATATTTGCAAACGACATACTGGATAAAGGGTTAGTATCCAAAATCTATAAAGAACTTACTAAACTCAACACCCAAAAACAAATAATCCAGGAAAGAAATGTGCAGAAGACATGAATAGACACTTTTCCAAAGACATCTAGATGGCCAAAAGAGACATGAAAAGATGCTCAGTGTCCCTCATCATCAGAGAAATACAGATCAAAACCACACTGAGATACCACCTCACACCAGTCAGAGTGGCTAAAATGAACAACTCGGGAAACAACAGATGCTGGCGAGGATGTGGAGAAACGGGAACTTTCTTGCACTGTTGGTGACAATGCAAACTGGTGCAGCGCTCTGGAAAACAGTGTGGAAGCGCCTCAAAAAATTACAAATAGAACTACCCTATGACTCATCAATAGTACTACTAGGAATTTATCCAAAGGATACAGGAGTGCTGATGCATCGGGGTACATGTATCTCAATGTTTATAGCAGCGTTTTCAACAATAGCCAAATTATGGAAAGAGCCTAATAGTCGATCAACTGATGAATGGATAATGAAGATGTGGTTTATATATACAATGTAATTCTACTTGGCAATGGGAAAGAATGAAATCCTGCCATTTGCAGCAACGTGGATGGAACTGGAGGGTATTATGTGAAGTGAAGTAAGTCAGTCAGAGAAAGATAGAGATCATATGTTTTCACTTATATGTGGAACTTGAGAAACTGTTTAACAGAAGACCATGGGGGAAGAGAAGGGGAAAAAATAGTTACAAACAGAGAAGGGAGGTAGGCAAACCTTTCAAGAAAAGAGCCAAATAAATAATACAAGGGTCCAAAAGTAAATTAACTGTCTAAAGATCTTTTTACCTGATTTTATTTAAAATCCTCTCAAACTGAGAAAATTATTTTCACTTTTGAAACTCAACCTGTCTGATAATGTGGAAAGCACCATACTGAAAAGGAAAACCTTTTATAGATTTGTACCTAGAAGCTGCTTACCTGATCAAAATTTACTGAGATAGATTAAATAATCTATTGTGTTTGCTCTCCTATCTTTGAAAAAGATCAGAGCCAAAGGAGTACTTACTATATTATTTATTTTTCATTTTTTTTTAAATTTTTTTTTAAATTTATTTCTAGGAGAGAGAGAGAGACAGCGTGAGCAGGGGAGGGTCAGAGAGAGAGGGAGATAAAGACTCTGAAACAGGCTCCAGGCTCCGAGCTGGCAGTCAGCACAGAATCCAACGCGGGGCTCAAACCCACGAACCGCAAGATCATGACCTAAGTGAAAGTCGGACGCTTAACCGACTAAGCCACCCAGGCGCCCCCTTACTATATTGTTTAAATGTGAGTTTGTGCCTAGAATGTTCTATGGAGTGTTTTCTATGTAAATCATTAACTCAATACTGTCTAGCAACCAAATTGTGTGTGTAGAAATAAGTCAGTAGGTATGGCCATATTATGCTACAGTAAAATTCGCCTCTGTCACCAAGGATGGAAATCAGGGACTTTACTAGATCTCAAAGATGGCAGTTCCTGTGTGTCACAGGGCATCAATCTGCGATCCGGTTTTGGGCAGTAAGGTAAACGGTGTTAATAGGTGGAAGCTTTAAGTCACATCTAACCAAGATGGGGTCTGTGCAGTAAATAATAATGCCTTAATCCAGATAAATGGATACTGTACAACATGACTGGTAACTAAATTTTCTGAGAACTCTTCAGGCAATCTGGAAAGAGCATCTATTTTTTTTGCCCAATGTGTATGAAATATAACTAAACTTTAATTATTCTGAGTGCTCAGCTGTCACTATTAATTTAATTTTTTGGTTTATTGAGACTTTGCTGTAAAGCCTTTTTCTTTAATACTTATTATAAAGCATTCCTCAATTTAAGCATTAGAGGTTCCTGCCTCTAGCAGTAAGTACAGTCTTTCTATAAGACTTACAGTCTTACTGTAATATCAAGTACAGTTTTATATTATGAAAATAATTCAATCTTTCTTAGGGAACTGAAAATTTTGCAGTTCTTCAGGATTACTATTTGAAAAATCACTTATTAGCATCTTGAACCATATAAAATAAGACTGATTTTACACTGGCTCCAAGACAGATACTCTGTAAGTTGCTTTCAAAAGAAAAGTTTCTGTCATAAAAGTAAAATATAGCAGAAAAATCAGCCATCAAGCGTCTAGTATATAAAGGCTAACTAGAACTGTGGGCAGTTAAGTGGGAAGAAGACAGGAGAATCTCTGACCTGAAGAGGCTTACCAATTAATTTCGTTTATGCGCTTGGAAGCAGCAGTCATTTTCACTACCCTGGTCCTTGCTCTTGGGTTACAAATATGATAATAGAGACCTTTGTAGGGTTATGTGAATTTCTTCCCATGCTCACTGAATTTTCCTGTCTCGTTTAGCCCATTAACTATTTAATTATTCACTGTCCTCTCAAAGTACTTGCATCTACTTTGCACTTTGGAAATCAGTTATTTGGAAATGCTGTTTAGTACACTGAATGGTAGAATACAGATATTCAATTTTTAAGAAATAGGTGGTTGACACATAATTTACCCCATGTCCATATAACAGAGCCTACGTTAAGGTTTGAGATGCTTCATTATTGCCTTTTATAAGGCAATACAAATCATTAAAGCAAGTCATGAGATATACTTTCTGATATGGCTGTAATAAGCTCTTTATGTGAGACTATGAACCTCTCTGCAACTTTCATATCAATGAAAATCCATATTCACTATTGTAAATTCCCACTAGATCTTAAATGAAAGCACATAACTTAGAGAAAAGAATATGAAGGCAGGACGCAGGAAGAGAAAGAATTTACTTCTGCAGAGTAGGAACTAATGGCTACTACAGTGAGTCTACTTCTTGTAAGCACAGTGGTCCTATTTCTGGAGCAGTCATTCACATTTTACTCCATACAACCTGCTTCCTGTCCTCCTGATAGCAGTCCCAGCACTAGTGAAGTTGCCAAATGCAATAGCCATTTTCTTTTTTAACCTCTACCTTTCTCAGCCTCTGACTCTGTTGATGCTTTCTTTTCTTTTGGTGTCTAGGACGCAGGGTTTTCCTGGTTTACCTGCTTTGTGTGCATGTGCATATGGGTGCTTTTTCTTTGCAATCACTTTCTTGATACCTCCTCTTCTTTCCATCTAGATCACAAACCAAGGTGCACTGTGAGACCTGTCTTTGGCCCACTCTCTTTCTCCTCCTGTAATCTTGTATAGCTTCATTTATCCCTCCACATGGGTAACATAGTTCTAAATTTCCAGGAGACATCTACACACATGTCTTGGGATTTCTAACCTAGAACCCCTGGGATCTCTTATTAGAACTTCAAATTGAATACCCATGAAGTGGAAATAGCATTTTCCATCTTTCAAGCCTACTACTTCTGGGTTGTTTATTTCTGTTGAGAACCTCATCATCCTTCTCATAATCAAGGCCCAACATTCATTGTAATAACTGGTCTCCACCCCAAACCCTGACGTATTCTCAGGTCCCTTCAGCTCAACTTCTTGAATATTTCTCAGATCCACCTTTCCTCTTACTCCTGGTGATCACATCTATCAGAGGCTCCTGATTTCTTGCCCTCCTTCTTACAATGGCTTCTTAACTGGTCTCTGTTTTCAGTTGTTTTCTTTACCTACCCATTTTAATCATTTTGTTAAACTGATTCTACTGAAAACAGCCTGCTCAAAACCTGCAATGGTTCACCAGTGACCACTGTTAAAATCTAAACTCCTCAGCTAGACATTCACGGCTCTCAACAAATTGGTTCTAATTGTTTGTCTTTTCTGTTTTTGTTGACTTGTCTTTTTCCTTTTATTTTTTAGCTAATGTTTTATTTCACCAATGCCTTGTTCTCTCATAGCTCTATGCCTTTTTGTCAGTATGGTTCTTTCCCCATGCCAATCCCTACTACTTCCCTTGTCCAATATCTGTTTTTATATAACTTTTCTACCTTTCAAGCTACACACACATTGTTTATGTATCTTACACGGGAAATTTCATAATTCCATCAGCTAGAATAATTTCTTTAATTCTTTGAAAAAGCACAGGATCTCTCTATCTCCTTGGCTATGGGGATGTCCTTATTTTTATTATCTCCCTATCTTATAAACTCCATGAGGGTAAAAATCCATCCATTCATTCAGCATAACTGTCTATTCTCCATAGTCACATGTGACTTCTGAGCATTTGAAATGTGGCTAGTGCAAACTGGAATGTGTAATAAATGCAAAATACACACTAAATTTTAAAGAGCTAGTATGAAAAAAGTAGAATACCTCACTAACAATTTTTATATTGATAGCCTGTTGAATCATATTTGGAAATATTGGATTAACTATAATATCATTAAAATTAATTTTACCTGTTTCTCCTTACCCTTTTTAAAAAACTGTAACCACTAAGAAATTTAAATTACATATGACTCACATTATGTTTCCATACAATGGTGCTGCTCTACATTCTGTGGGAAGTATTGGGGATATGGATATTGTTCTTCAAGAAACTCTTTATCATGATGTATATCACCCAGCCCAGTGCCTTACTCTAGAGGTTAATTGTGTGATTTTCAAGACCAGATCTGGAATTCTAGGTGAGTGGCCTAGTCAGCAAGAACTACTGACTGGGCAAAATTTAGTAATTGTTAAAAATTCTGGAGATCTTGAAGGCAGAAATTGGGAGTTGTGGGAACTGGTAAGAGTTTTTTCACTTTTGACGCATGATAACAAATGTTAACACTTTCGAGATTTAGGTAATATATATCATAATGTAAATAACCAACACTTTGGGGGAAACAGGTGTCCTCAGATCCTGTAGTGACATCACTCATGGTGTGTATCTCAGTGTCAGGAACTTGAGGGCCTGGGGGGAGCGGCGTATACTGATGGGCTTTCTCTTTCTGTACATATATAGTAATAAATCAACATGTAATAAACCAGTACCACTGGTGAGTAGTGCAGAGGCTTACAGCTGAAACTTTAACACCCTAGTCAGCTAGGATTAAGTAACCTGCTGAATTTGAGCTCAATCTGTTTGACCTACGAGAGTGAAAAAAACCCAAAACTGAAAGGCAAAGAAAGCAATGTTTTTCTTCTCCATACCCAATGCGTCATGAAGATACTGTTGTCCCACCAACTTGAGGTATTCCTCGATGGATTTGGTGGCAATGGTGTTCTCTCTGAAGATCAAGACATCATGCTCTCCACAGCGATCCACCTCAGACATCACCAAGTCAGTCAGAAAATCCTGGTGGAATAATGTTCAATCAGGCAGGAAGCAACTGATTAAATAATATACATTAGAAGAAACTGATGAAATGCTAGACATTCTGGAAATGCTGCTTTCAAACTAAAGGTGCCCCATTCATTTGTAAGATTAAAAAGTCAGCCAGGATAAAAGCCTAGGTATCACCAGCTTTAAGTTTAAAATTCCTTCAAAAGTTTTCCATCACACTTTTGATAAAGACCATACTTTTGCATGTGGCCTACGAGTCTCTACATTTTCTGGTCTCTGTCTACCTCCCCAACCTCCTCATAACCCATTCTCTGCATTCTGTTCCAGCCTCAATGGGCTTCTTTTTAGGCTCGTGAATATATCAAGGCCTTTCTAAAACAAGATGCTGTTTACCAAAAAGTTCTGGAAATGCTGTTCTCAGTTCTGCTTCACTCCCACCCTCGCTCCTGCCACAGTGTCATGGAGTTAATTCCTCAAATCCTTTGCATCCTAGTTTGTACATCATTTCCTCAACGAAGCCTTCTCTGACCAGCATCGGTCAGTCCCATATTCCCCACTCTCATAGTGCCTGTGTCTTTTTTTTCCTCTGCACTTCTCACTGTAATCACACACTTATTTCTATAAGTACTCAATTATTATCTGTTTTCCCCAGAAGACTATAAACCCCAGGAGGCCAAAGACAGTGGGTATTTTTAGTCATCTCTAGATTTTCAGCATTAAACAGTTTCTGGTACATATTAGGTGTTCAATATATAATAGTTACAAATTGGTCCACAGTGTCAACATGGACTTTCTTAAACTTAGCACCTGAACTCATTTTCTAGGTTGATTATCTATCTATCTATCTATCTATCTATCTATCTATCTATCTATCTATCTATCTAAATCCATCCATCCATCTATCTAATCCATCCAGGAAGGCATAAAGAGAAATAAAGCCCTCAAGAAATAGCTGCTTCTTTTCCCAACAGTCTTAAAAATTAACTTGATGGGGGGCACCTGGGTGGCTCAGTCTGTTAAGCATCTGACTCTTGATTCTGTCTCAGATCAACAGCTCACAGTTTGTGAGATTGAGCCCTGTGTCAGGCTCTGCACTGATAGCACAGAGGCTGCTTGGGATTCTCTCTTTCAGCCTCTGCCCTCCTCCCCCCCATAAAGAAATAAACTAAAAAAAATTAACTTGATATAAAATTCAATGTTTACTGTTGTTCAGTTTGAATGTAAAAACATCATGTATTTGGAACATTATATGTATACTTCAAAATCTCCAAAACCAAAAACAAAGGAAACATGCTGACTTATTTTTACTTTAAATTTAAGCACTTTGAACAATAATGGGATTTTCTGTGGGGCAGCTCAACAAAGTTAGGAGTCACTACTAAAACTCATACTAAGAACGGGTGGAAACTTATGGGGGTGATGGTAACATTCTCTATCTTGATTGTTGTGGTTTCCCTGGGTGCATAATATGTCAAAACTCATTATTATTTTCCACTTAAAATGGGTGTACTATATGTAAACTGTATCTCAATAAAGTTGTTGAAAAATACCCTACATATATATCCTTGAACCTTAAGAAATAGAAGAGCAGAATGAACAAATCCATACAATTTCAAAGATGAGACTCAAAATTTCAATGACACCTGACCCCAAACTTGTAAGCTATTTGTAACACTGGAGAACTCAAAATTAGTATCATAAAATTCAAAAACAAAAATGATAATCAGTACAAAGGCAGTTACATAAGGGGCTAAAAATGGGATATATTCTGATTTGTATCACGAAATCTTAAAAGCATTTAATTTTATTGTTTGGTTCTAAATAAATTATTTTAGCTGTGAACTCTTCTAGATCTAAAATACAGTTTTACCATGACCCATTTGCATACAACATAATGGAGACTCAGTCTAGTGAATATGCCTCATAGAGATGGTAATTATCATAGTTCAGGATGATCACAGAGTCTATCAGTTTTCTTCATATAATTAGCATATTCCTTTTTTTCCATCTTCCTCAATTTTTACTTCTATCCAGGATGAAATGAGATAAGACTATCATAAAACAGCTACCAACTAAATAATACCCCTTGGAAATACCAAGGGATACTGATCCCATGAAGACTCTTGCTGGATGCTTCTGGAATATCTCCTTCTGTGACTAGGGAATAGGTTAATCTTAATTCATCGGTTAATCTTAAATTAAAAACATAGTGAAGTGGGGAGCCTGGGTGGCTCAGTCGGTTAAGTGTCTGACTTTTGCTCAGGTCATGATCTTGCAATTCATGAGTTCAAGCCCCACCACGTCAGCGTCTGTGCTGACAGCTCAGAGCCTGTAGTCTGCTTCGGATTCTGTGTCTCTCTCTTTATCTGGCCCTTTCTCGCTCACACTCTGGTATCTCTCTCTCTCTCAAAAATAAATAAACATTTAAAAAATACATAGTAAGGAGCAAAATTATCATACAACACACTCTGGAACTGAAGATAATCTTGAACACACTGTGGGATTAGCACACCAATTCTACCATTTGTTCTGTCAGATAATAAGGAGCTGGCCCTGGTATCTATGTTTCACACAACTGGTCTTTAAATAAATATCTGTTGGTGTCTCCATGTTACTTTTTGTTTAATAATCCCCATCTTCTCTGCATGTGACAACTACTAATAGGCTTTCTTCCTACTTTTTTTTTTTTTTTTTACCAATAGCAAAGCATACTTCTCCAATTTGGATCTCTACACTAAACATAGCATGGTTATTTCTTCACAAAATGCAGGGAAGAGATTTTGGGTAATGTAACCCCTCTTTTCCACTTACCTTGGCCCTGCCAGTACTTTGAAGAATGTGCACTAAGGCACAAGCCAACTCCTCTTTATTTCTCACACTAATTACCGGTTCAAGGACAGAACACAGCATGGTGTAGTTGCTGGTGACAAATTCTGCAAATTCTTTGTATTGCTCCATAGGCAGAATGGTGATAGTTTGGAACCGAGATTTAATCCGAATAGAAGGTGCCCCTGTCTTTCCTTTGTTGGACGTAGGGGTACTCACTGGATACCACTTTTCTATAAACTGGCGACCAGTCACACTGGCAGTGGGAATGTTGACTAGCCCGACGTAATTATTCTTTTCTTTTTTTTTCTTTTTTTCCACATCTTTATAAATGTGAATTGTAATGCTATGAATAGATGGAAGGCTGTAGAATTCAAAATGTTCACCCCAGAAAATATTATCTGCTTTGGTCTTGCTGGTTGTACGAGCAAAGAGGGTACCATCAAGGCAGAGTTCACAGAAATACTTCTTTTTAGAAGCAAGGTCCTTGGCTTCAATGATCCATAAACGAAGAACATTTTCAGCTCGTCTGCAATTGTCCTATAAAAAAAGCACAAGTTCGAGTTTGAAAGCTGAAATCCCAGAAAAACAACATTTTCCTTTGAAAGGAGGTGATACTCAGTAAATATTTTATTAAGGGTGGTGATTAAATAATGAAAGGGATTGCTCTCTCTTTGTTCAGGATAATAGCAAACTCTGAACAAGAAGATATCAGAATCTTAGCCTTAAGTACTCAATTTACTTGGGTCAAAAAACATCATGTAAGTTCTAATACAGCCAGCCTAGTGGCAACTGGCCTACTTTCTGCAAATAAAAAAAGAGAGAAGCAGTTCAGAAACTAGTGTTCTAGTCCCATTTCTGTCATATATCAGCTTCGGACATGGGCATGTCACATAACTTTGGAGTTTTTTAAAAATGTTTATTTATTTTTGAGGGAGGGGGAGGGGCAGAGAGAGAGAGAGGGAGACACAGAATCTGAAGCAGGCTCCAGGCTCTGAGCTGTCTGACACGGGGCTGGAACTCACAAATCGCAAGATCATGACCTGAGCTGAAGTTGGACACTTAACTGACTGAGCCACCCAGGCACCCCAACTTCTGAGTCTTCTTACCCACATTGGTAAAAATCACAATAATATCTGCAATAAGATTATTTTTGGTATAATGTGCATAAATGTAAATGTGCTTTAAAAGTACTATAAAAATTGAGGTATGATTGCTGCATTTACCTTCTATCAACTTACTGATCACAGAGTTATACATTTTTAGACACTCAAAGCCACTATTACCTTATTTGGTTGAACTGCCCTACGAAGGTTTTCCATCCACTTGTCTCTCTCTGAAGCAGAGTTACAGCTGAAGCATTTACTTCCACTTAAGTAGGTAACCTTTAATATAAAAGATTAGAGATAGGGAAACATAGGGATTGCAGGTTCTGTTTTCATAATTCTATTATTTAAAAGTTAGGAATATGCTACGAACCCAAATCATAATTCATAAAACAGAAATGATATTTGGTAGTTCTGTGATGTCTATATTCTACATCTGCGTTTTGTTCTCATATGTAGGTAGCATCCATATGCATTTCCAGGTAGGGGAACAAAGGCCATTGAGAATTTAGGTCAGGAACCTAAAACTGGCCTTCCATTCAGAAAGATCACAATTAAAAACCTTCCAGGCCACATCTTCAATACCTGTAAACAAATATACTCAATTCTGAGTGAGTTAACAAAACAATAGCTGCAAACACCAGAGAGCCTCTAAAACAGCTTGTCAAATTTCTCAGGACTGCCTTCACTCTAATATTACAGAACGAGTACTAAGTGGAAGTAAAAAGAGTTAGCAGTATTGAATTACTGTCTTTGGAACCCATTTCTCATTGACCACTATTATCATTGTCCTTTAAAGATGAACTATGCTGTCTGTATACCTAGCACCTAGCACTGGGCCTGGTACACGGCCTGCTGAACAGAGTTCCACAAATACAGGAAAATTCAAGTGACTGCTATAAAAATGAACACTAATAAACGACCTGTTCAAATTGTTGAAGTGTGCTCACGTATTAACTCAATCTAAAGTTATAACCCAGTGAAGTCAGATCAGAGTATGTGCACTATTCAATATGGTAGCCAGTGAGTGCCTGAAATGTAGCTAGTCCCAAACGAGATGTACTGCAAATGTAAAATACACATCAGCTTTTGAAGACTTAGCTTAAAAAAAAAAAGTAAAAAATCTCATTGATAATTTTATATTAGTTACATCTTAAAATGATATTTGGGTTTAATAAAATTTTAGATTACATAGTTGGCTTGCATTATATGTCTTTGTATTAGGGCAGGTCCATAAGAATAGGAATCAAACATCTTTCAACTTCTACACCATCTATCATAGGATTCACCACTAGTTACTTAGTAAGTTCAAGTTAATCAAATCCTAACCCTTACACACACACACACACACACACACACACACACACACAAAGAGTTTTAAATTAAATTGCAAATGGCCAATTGTTTAGTTTGGGAGGGAGTTTATATTTAGTTTGGGAAGAAGAAATTACCTTATAAAAAGTGATAGTCATAATTTAATGATGAAGGGCAATTAACTTATTTATTTAAGAATTTAGGCACCTGCAATGTGTCAGGGACTGGTCTATGTGCAGGGAATTACAAAAATGAATAAGACATGGTCTCAAATATCAAACTACCCATGTTGTAGTCAGAAAATTATGATTTTGGTCAATTTCCTTAAAGACTCACTAAAGTTGGAAGCTTAGATTTTTAGGAGAAAGATAACATAGTGGGTGATATCTTTATCAAAGACTGAAAAATTAAAATACTAACTTAGTTATCATTAGGATTGAGACCTGTGCCAAGAGTATGTTAAGAACATATTTATTTTAAAGGCAGACTAGGCCAAAAGGAATGAGAAGGCATAATTAATAACTTTAATGACCAATATAACTAGATTAATAGATTCTCAACCTTTTTCCTATAAGTAGGTTATTTTCAGCAGCTGAAAGTCACTTAATGATGATCAAATCATCAATACCATAGTAATAAAATCACAAAATCACTGGAGAGAAAATCTGTTTGGTGCTTAATCACTCTTCCTTCTTTCTATGCTTTTTACCTCAAAGCAGAAGTCTTTTCCAAGGATGCTACTGTGGACCGAATTCACTGACACCGGCTCTCCTTTGCCGAGATCCAGACACTCTATGGCACTGCAAGGGCTCAGCAAGGACTCATGGGAACGTGACTCTTTTAGTTTAGGCAGACTACGAATCCTAAAAGTAGAAAATGATATTTTAGATAGTGTACTGCATGGCCAACAGGAAAACGAAAGATGAACATACGGGAGGCTAACAACAAATGCATAAACGCTTAAGGAAAAATAAAAAAGGAGCAAATGAATAGTTAAATCCGCAATAATAATACAACCATATTCGCATGGCACAAATCAACCACGTACACATTTGTGTGTGCACACATGTACACACTTGTTTTTCAATAAAGCACAAAAACATACTATAGTTTTATACCAGTCTCAAAGGAGTTCAAAAAGCTCCACTACCCACATTGTTTTTATTCTCATTCCTATCTTGAAGATGGAGAAATACATACTCCACAAGGTACTTACATATTCTTTTTCATACAAAGGTATTATCAAAAGACATGTTTTGTTTCTTTTCTTTTCTCATTTTTTTTTCATGCTATAGTTTGAACCTCTTCTATCCCTGACAAAACAGTAGTGGCTGAATCCTCATTCTGTTTCTTGCTGCTTTGGCAGAATAAACACACTCACACAGAGTCAAAGACCAACTTTTCAGCACAAGACCCTGCCTTTCAAAAGATCTGATTTCCATCTCAATACGGAATTCTTTTCTGGCAAGCATTTGGTCATATCCATGCTTTACTGTATAAACATGAATAAAGAATAAAATGCCTTGAAGAAACCTCCCACCCTCAAAAGAAATGTTCAAACTCTCGTCTAGAGGAACAAATCTTTGTCAACACCATTCAGGCATTTGGGCTGATTCTGTTTCTTAGTTGTTTAAAGAAGAATGCTGTGAATGACTCTGGCCATGACAGCAGCGAGTCCCTCGCTGCCTTCCCTTTGGAAGAATTAATGAAGTCAAGAATAAAAGCGAAATATTCTTGGATCCAGAACTGGAGAGCCAAGCAGTTTTACTCAATAATTAAAGAATTTATTGAGTAAAACACCCAGAATTAAATACATATGTTTCAAGTAGAAGTAACCAAGTCATAAGGATAAAAAGAACTATGCCGGTGTAAAGACATTTGTTTTTGTAAAACACAACAAATAAGGAGCTTTATTTATTGCCTTGAAATGGCTATGCTAACATTATTCTAACACTGTTTAATCAAATTCCATATATTAAGAAACATCTTAAGCAGTGAGAATTTGAGTCCATTCTTCCATCCGTACACATTACAAAAAACACTTTCATTTAATGTTTATAAAGAAAACGTGTTCTGAGATAGTCAGCAGTCTTTCTAAGGTCACAAAGTCAATATTTGTATTTCCCATTGATAAAACAAAGCATACACGAAAGGGACAAATGCCACTTAATGTTTTCTACATAGAAATATAACAAGGTAACATTTGTTTCTTTTTGTTCTATTGGATAAAACAATGCTATGTTATATACTGCAAACACAGCCATCAACATAAATAACTAAAGGCTAAAAAATTTTATTTTAATAGTTACCGAATAACCTTTCCCAGTACGTTTCATAGGGAGCCAGTTAACAGGATGCTGTAATGTTTTTTAAAAACACATATAAATCCCAGCCCATTTTTCCCAGGAGGAGTTGTTTGGAAAGGAAAAGTCTCTCGTGCTCTGGGAGAGAGTCTCCCGATAGGAAAGATTAAGGCATATTTTAAATAGAAGGCAGTATGACAAAAGTCTCACTTTTATTTTGAAAATTCTCAAGGATGATATTCTAAAACGTAAATTAATTTTATTTTAAACAAAATAAACGCCTACCTACATGAAGCAATTGTACAGCCACCTGGGAGTGCAGCCCCAAATCATTGTGCTGCTACATGTCACGGTGCAGCAAGTCACTTTCTGAACTATGTCTTTGTTTAGAAGGCAAGAACCAACAGAAGAGAGTTTCCCTCCTGCCTTCCTTTACTGGTAACATCTCTGGATACACATTTTCCAGGTGTCATTTCAAGGCTCCAAGAGAAGTAGAACAGAAACACAAAGAAGGAAACAAGATGGCATCTTCCGAACAGGTTGCAGGATAGGTAATATTCCTTCTTCTCTTGCTCAGGCTGCATCCAGCCCCTCAGGTAACACAAACAAGGTGCTGGGCTCTAGGCTGGGCCTGTTGCCATGGTGCTCCACCTATCCGGAGAGTAGGGCTAGGAGGCAGCCGGGAGAGGCTGTGCTTTGAAGGACTCAGGAGCTTGCTCTGCAAACGTGACCATTTTAAGACAGAAAGGAAGGAACGGTAACGTCCCTGCTCATTTCCATTAACAGTTTCTCAAAGTCAAAAGCTGTAGGAAAAAACCCAGAAGGCAACTCTGGGGGCGGAGGAGAATCTCTGAACTCAGGGACAAATCTCAGCTTTAGCTGGCTTCTTCCCCTGTGATTCCTTGCCCTCAGCTAGAAGGCATTTGCCACATCCGACCTTGCAAGTACAATCTTCCTTTCACATCTGTTCTATTTCCTTTGCATGTTCACCCTAGTTTAGTGTTCCTAGGTATTATTTTATATTAACTTATCTGGATTACACCACTTTTTGAAAGAGAAAGTTGGATGAAACTCCTATTTACTGTATTTTCAATGCTGAGCAGATTCCATTTTGAAACCCAGGTTTAACTTCCAAATGCAGCCATCAACAGATATTAGAACCAAGACATCTGGAATTAGAATTCAAACCTCCCCCTACTTATTGAAATTTCATTATTAACACTTAGTTCAGAAGTCAGCATATATGTACACCTACACACCCATGAATTCAACACCAAAGTCACTAATATGCTCTATATTACTACTGAATAAATAAGCAAGCCCTTCCTGTATTGGGAAGAAAGTATCTCTGAGAAGAGAGAATTCCCAGAGAAGCAGGATTAGAGTAAACAGGAAGGTTAAGCAGCCTGGGAATGGCTTGAGGTTGGGAAGAGGTATTATCTGGGCAAATATTTCTATGGAATAGCATTAGGGACTCAAGTCCCCTCTAAATCATGTCTACCTCCTCTTGTACCTTCACGTGAATTGATTTTGCTTAGACCTGCTAACTAGAGATTTTTAATAGCTCTGTATATATGGCACTACAGTTTACTTTTCTAATGTAGAGTATGGATTTACTGAGAGAATAATATGAGTTTAAAACAGTTTTTTCCAGTCCAGTCTGACAATGGCCTTCATCAAGGAACCTAGCCTGGAAAGTGGGCCTTGTGAATCCCTTGATTCCTAGCCAGGGTTCTCTCCTCAGCCCCTGCACCTCTTCTTCCAACCCCACCATCCCAAACATTAAGTAAGAATAATTCAGGGTGCCAATATAATTATTTCTTGGCTTAACTGGGAAACTGCTTTCCAGAAGCAACTTTACTTCCAACTAAGGAACACCGTGTTCTTTATGTTTTAAGGCCAGCAGACCACCTTGATTTCTTTGTAAATTCCGAGGATTCTAGCAATGTGATAGGTCAGGGTTAAAAATCTAATTGCTTTGCTGATGAAGATTACCTGCTGCTTCTGACCTATTTAAGAGATAAACTACAAGGTAAGACAAGCTTTTCATTACTCACTACAGTTATTGAGCATTCCATTGCTTTAACCCACATGCCTATCTAAAATCAGTCCTTAAAAGACAAAAGTGAAGGGTTGGGGGATGGGGAGCCAATACCCACACCACTGGATACACGGATGGGAAAAAAAATAGAGTCAAAGAACTCTGATTAGTGTGATGTTAAGTAAAACACAGCTGGATTTTTCTCAGCTTAACCATTCAAATTTTTTAAAAAGCCATGTTTCCCTCAAAGTGCCAATGGTGCCTGGATGTGCTAGCTCAAATCTGCCACACGTTCACAGATTCAGTTCCAAATCATTCCGGAAACTTTTAATTAAAAATGCTTATTGCCACACAAAATCCTGCACTCCAGTGCAGGTGAATTTCTGCTGGGCTTGGCAGTTATGATTCCAGACTGCTTCACTGAATTCTTGAAGAAACACTCAGCTGTAAGGTGGGTGCGGCAATATAGGCTCGTATTCACCAGTATGTACTCCGAAGGCAGTTTATCGTGTTTGAGAACACAGCTCAGTATCCCAGGACTCTACCAAGCTTTTTAAATTTGGGAAAAATGTAGATTCATTTGCTCCCTACATTTTATTGTTTTTCAACCTGGTAGATCTTTGGAAAGAGCAGATCTTTTCCTGTACTATAATTTTAAAGGTTTTCTTCCCTGGATTAAACAACAACAACAAGGAAATTAGAACTCACTCAGCAGAATTTCTACTTGTGGGCTCAAAAAACTGTCTTTCCTGAGAATCCTGAAAGCACTAGCTGAACGGGTTTATCTGCTGCAGTTAAAGCCAGTCCTTACTGCTTAAATTACTCCCTGATTTTTATGTTAGCTTTAAAAAAATATACCACACAACCACTCACACAAAAAGCTATTTATGAAAATGTAACATATATTGCTGATCCTTCCTCTCTCTGCTCTCAGCCTCTAAACAGGATGGTCTAAGGAGCCCAACTGCTAATGGTAAAATAGGATATTTGTCAGCCTGAGTTGTCATTTAAATTAACAAACTCATGGTAACAAAGTTTATCATCATAGACAAAAATGACATTCAATTTGTCATTTTGGTACATATACATGTATACATGCAATGAAAGAAGGCAACAAAGGAAGACAAGATTATAAATATTAAAACATGTTGAGGAGGGCAGAAAAATCAATGAGCCTTCAATATGACAAACACTAGGAATAATCTCTTTAACAAAAATTGTACCATATGGTAATATACTGTTACTTTTTTTGTCCTTAAATTGTAAATGGAATACGATCTACTAGTGCCAATTAAATTAAATACAAACATAACTATATTCAGTGTTTAAAACCCATGAAATGATACAGAGAAAGGGGAACCTTCTTACATGGTTGATGGGAATGCAAACTGGTGTAGCCACTCTAGAATAAACAGTATGGAGGTTCCTCAAAAAGTTAAAAACAGAACTAACCTCCAGTCCAGCAATGGCACTACTAGGTATTTATCCAAAGGATACAAAAATGATGATTTGAAGGGAT